GGTTGCACAAGGTGAATGTACTTAATGCCACTGAATTGCACTCTTAGAAATGGCTAACATGGTAAACTTTATGTAATGTATATTTTGCCACAATAAAAAACACAAAAAGCCAGAACCAAAACAGAAAGCTTACCAGTTTTTCTTATAGGTTGTTCACCACATTTCCCAGTGTTCTGTGGGATAAGCAGACGAAAAGCTGGAAACTGCTGAAAACTGGAAGTGCCAGGGGCCTCCCAGCTTGCCACACTGTGTGCTGGAGGGTGCACAGCTCCCAGCTCAGAGTGGCTTGCATTGGAACTGAGTTTTGCTCAAGCTCTGGCCACAGCAACAGAACTGTCTCTCCATTTGTTTGTACTGATTGTATAGCCTTGCTGTCATCATCCATTACGTACAAAGGAATTCACTTTCTAAATTGGTGCCCACTCTGGTTTCTCCTTTGAGAAAGTACGTAAGTGACTAGTCAAGAGGCATTCGGTTTATACTTCAGAGTCTAAAGTTTAGCCAGACTGTTTCTCTTTTGTGAGTGATTGGCATTCTTTTCTTTTGCTTTGTAATTATTCATGTTTGTTCTTAACTTTTCTTCCTAAAGTTTGCACGGGGTGCCAAGATCCCTTTGAGATGCTGCTCCTCGTGTTCGAGGATGACGCCTTAAACATCCAGGCTTTCAGGTGATGGTGTCGTGTGATGTACGTGTCTCAGGCTTTCACTCCCGCAGGGGAATTTCCATGCAGCTTTTGGATGATTTTCTATCATAGTAGTTTTTCCTTGAGGGCTTCGCGTAGTCTTCTCAGGTAGCAGGAAGGGAGGGAGACTTTCTTGCCAGCACCATTTCTAAATATAAACTTCTAATTAAGCAGGCTGTTCGAACCTCCCTCGGAAAGGTCATTTGTGAAAGTGGAGCTTTTGGTCACTCTGTAAGCGATCCCACTTCACTTGCATCATATGGACGATGCCATGCGGTCATATTCGGAAAATATCATCAGCAATGGCCCATTGATTTATGTAAGGCCAGAAGATCTTCGGTATTAGATATCAAAGAGCTTGGGTCTGCCAGCTTCTCCTCTTCCCTAGGACCAGTTCTTGTGAACTGCCTGCCTCTAAGTTTCTTAAATGTCTATAACAGATACGTCTTATTGGCAAAAGCAAAATGAAAGCCATGGTTCTTGTGGCCGGGTGCGGTGGCTCACGCCCGTAACTCCAGCACTTTGGGAGGTGGAGGCAGGCAGATCACCTGAGGTCAGGAGTTTGAGACTAGCCTGGCCAACATGGTGAAAACCCTGTCTCTACTAAAAATACAAAAATTAGCCGGGCATGGTGATATACACCTGTAATCTCAGCTACTTGGGAGGCAGAGGCAGGAGAATTCCTTGAACTTAGGAGGTGGAGGTTGCAGTGAACCGACATTGTACCACTGTACTCCAGCCTGGGTGACAGAGTGAGACTTCATCTTAAAAAAAAAAGCCATGGTGGTTGTCTCATTGATTTTGATGAAAGAAAAACGAATGAAGAAATGGAATTGTTAGTGAATTGACTGTTCGGGTTTTCAATAGGCTCAGTCACATCTAGATTGTCAGTGTGAGTGAAATTAATGTATTGATTCGTATATGTGCCTTCACAATGACCTGGAAATTCTGTGTAGAGATATAAAGGCTTGGTTTTAATAAACTAGGTGCAATGTGGGAACTTAATTGGGAGCCATGAATAGGCTTTAGGGGATGAACCCCATGAAATTTTCTACAGAATCTGCACGTGCATGGAGAGGATTCCATGGCTTCTGTTAGGTTTTGAAAGGGATTCAGATCTCAAAGCTGTTAAGGAGCCTTGTGAAATGCTCAGAATACCTCACTGCGGCTGGGTTGGTCCCTGACTGGGGCCCTGATTAGAGCTGTGACTATGCAAGCGGAATGCTTCTTGAATGTTTCAGGTGGCTCTTTAGAGTGAATGTGGATTCTACGTGCCATTCATAGTCAGAAAGAAGTGAGCAGAAAGGAAAGGGAAAGCCCAGAAATGAGGGATTGACTATTTTATTTTAGGAAAAAATGTACCTGAAAGGGAGTTAAGAACATAGATTCTGGAGCCAAACTTCCCAGGTTCAAATCCCAACCCTGCCATGTGGTGCTGGTGTATCCTTAGCAAATTAAGTAATTTCCATGCGTCTCTAGTGTCTTTGTTTGTGAAATGGGTATAAAGTAGTATTTGCTTCCTAAGGTTGTGGGAAGGATTAAATGAGAGAATGTAAAGTCTTCTTGATAGCATGTAGTACATGGTAAGTGCTTAATAAATATTAGCTGTTATAATGGAGTCAGGTGGTTGTCCTTAGTAATGTGAGAAGTAGTAAAATATGGACAGTTCAGGTTTTATGTACATGTACCTATCTCCAAAAAATCACCTGCCTTCAGCATTTGTCTGCCTGTGAGCTATTTCAAGAAAATTTTGGTGCATAAACATCATAAAAGGTGAAAAAAAACACTGTCATATATAATTTTGGCAAAATAGGATAGTCCGTGCTTTTGTCATAAAATATTGGATGATTGTGTTCATCCTGTTAAATGGTTAACCAGATGAGACTATCACATTTTTTTTTTTGTCTTTTGAAATATATTGCTCAGTCTTTGATCCTGAATTTCATCTAGGATATGGTCATGGAGGCCTCATCATCTGAGACGTCACCCTTATGGTTGGTTTCACCGTCATCACTAGGCCGTAGAGAACTGCTGTCTCTCTCTGCATTCACCTCCTGGCACATCTGATAACTGCGAGATGTCTTCTCCTGTCAGCTTTGTTTTTGCTGTTACGGATGGAAAATGAAAAACTGATTTCTCAACAGTGTTCCATGAAAGCAAAAAAAAAAAAGACTGCAAAGATGGTGTTTTCAGACTTCTTTTATACCTTCTTGAAGGTGATGCAGTTCTTTGCGCAATGCCATGAGAACTGAAGGATGATGTCATAGTGATGACTTATTTCACTATTGCACTATCTTAAGTGATTTCTTATTCTCCTGCTTTCTTATTTTAGTCTTTTAAAAAATCATAGGTGGCGGCCGGGCACAGAGGCTCAAGTCTGTAATCCCAGCACTTTGGGAGGCCGAGACGGGCAGATCACGAGGTCAAGAGATCGAGACCATGGTGAAACCCCGTCTCTACTAAAAAAGTACAAAAAACTAGCTGGGCGTGGTGGCGGGTGCTTGTAGTCCCAGCTACTTGGAGGCTGAGGCAGGAGAATGGCGTAAACCCGGGAGGCGGAGCTTGCAGTGAGCTGAGATCCGGCCACTGCACTCCAGCCTGGGCGACAGAGCGAGACTCCATCTCAAAAAAAAAAACAAAACAAAACATAGGTGGCAATAATTGAGAGATAATGATGAAATAATTCTAATAGTAAAGTATCTCAGCATATTGGAAAAATAAGATCACCAACATCCCCTATTGCATCTTTGATTTTTTAAAAGGGTCCAGTGGACTCATGGAAATTGTAAGGTAGAATGAATTTTTGAAAGGCTTCCAAGAAAAAAATAGAAATCATGAAGTAGCAATCCTTACAAATAGTTAGAACTGCTCAAAAAAGAAACCCAAACCTAACATCCAGTGGACCCTGATGGTAGAAGGTAGTCACACGTCTACAAACCCATCTGAAGGAAATCATCTGAAAGGCGAAGATTAACACATGAAGATGCTCATTGCAATGTTATTTTTATTAAATAGGAAAAAACTTAAATGTGTAACATAGAGTATGGGCTGAACATCCCTGATCTGAAAATCTAAAATCCACAGTGCTCCAAATCTCAAATTTTTGCATGCTGACATGATGCTCCAAGGAAACACTCATTGGAGCATTTTGAATTTCAGACTTTTGGATTAGGGAGCCACGATCGGTAGGTATAATGCAAACATTCCAAAATACAAAAAAATCCGATATCCAAAATGGTTCTGTTCCCAAACGTTTTGGATAAGGGATGCTCAACCTGTAGTGGGTTAACTATGGCACACCAATATGTATGTCAAAGTCTCATGTAATAGTTTATTTCAAAAAGTATAGGCTCATGATTGAATATTAAATTTAGTGAGCTCAATGCAAACCTGTATATGTAGTGTGAGGTTAGCTATCCAAAATATATACATAGAAAAATGTTGGCAGCAAATACATAAAATGTCAGTAGTTTTTTTCTGGGTGGTGAGATGACGTATGATATTTAGATTTGGTTAACTATACTTTTACTTTCCAAAATCTGCAACATGTATTTTTTAAACAAATCCTTTTTGTGATGTTGAAGCAAATGTTCATTTTTGGTAGCAAATGTTCTTTTATTGAGAAATAATTTATATATCATACAATTTACCCTTTTAGAGTCTCCCATTCAGTGGTTTTTAGTACTTTCACAAGAGTGTTCAACCATCACCATTGGCCAGGTACAGAGGCGCATGCCTGTAATCTCAGTACTTTAGGAGGCTGAGGTGCATGGGTTGTTCCTGAGCCTAGGAGTTTGAGACCAGCCTTGGCAACACAGGGAGACTCTGTCTCTACAAAAAGTACAAAAATTAGTAGGGTGTGATGGTCTGCGCCTGTAGTCCCAGCAACTCAGGAAGCTGAGGTGGGAGGATCGCTTGAGCCCTAGAGATTGAGGCTGCAGTGAGCTGTGATGGTGCCACTGCACTCCAGTCTGGTTAACTGAGTGAGACCTCATCTCAATCCCCCAAAACCATCACCACCATCAATTTCAGAACATTTTCATCACCACAAAAAGAAATTCTGTGCCCATTAGCAGTCAGCGGTCCTAGGCAACCATGAATCTCCTTTCTGTGCCTATGGATTTGTCATTTCTGTACGTTTCATATGAATAGGATCATGCAACATGTGGTCCTTTGTGGCTGGCTTCCTTCACCAGCATGTTTTCGAGGTGAAGCAAATCTCTTTTGTAGTCTAGTTTACTCATTTTTTTTTCTTTAGAAATCATACTCACCCTTATTTATTATGTAATATAATGTATTTTTTTTCTTTATTTCCAGAATTGGTTCCTTCCATTATGAGCAACTTGTTGAATCCAGATGCCATTTTCTCAAACAATGAAATGAGCCTGTCAGACATTGAAATCTATGGCTTCGATTATGATTACACCTTGGTGTTTTATTCAAAGCACCTCCACACGCTGATATTTAATGCTGCACGGGACCTTCTCATCAATGAACACCGGGTAAGATCAGAGGGACATTTCAGCTTCTCCTCCCCTTTTCCCCTTAGAACAGCCTTGAGCTGACGTGACCCCATGTCTGCCACAGAGAAGTCATTTAATAAATTGTTGCTGAATGAATAAGTAGATTTTGTTGCCTTCCACATAACTCTTACCTGGAAGATGATAGTTTTTTTAAAAAAAATCTTTAGATGTCTTTTGGCAAAAGGCCTTCCCAAGATGTGCATTAATGGAGATTTGGCTGTAGATATTTACACTCTCGTCTTTCACGGAACGACACGGTGTCTCCTGGAGCTTGATGAATTGGCAGCCTGCCTGTTGAATTCTGGCTAGGAGGAATTCCTCAAATGTTAGGAGATGTTTTACCTTCAACACCCATTTGAATTGCTAAGAGCAAAGCATATTTGAATGTCTTTCTTCTGATACGTAGTATGGTTGAGAGTTTTTAATGAGGAAGGAAAAAAGAAAATATGCAACCCTATCATTTTTTTCTCTAGTCTGATTTGAGTACACATTTCAGGAAGCAGGATAAGAAGTGTTCTCAGAAGTCTTGTGGGCCATACCCTTTGAGACCTCCCCTGGGAAGTACAGCTCAGATCTCCATCTCAGACAGGTGCACGTTGCCCTAGGAAGTGGTTCTGATTTTTGGGAAGTTCTTCCATGGGTTGAACAATTCTGCCTTCATACAGCTCTCACCATTGACCTCTTTTCTTCCTTGATTTATTGCTTCACATGTTTCTTAAGCCTCCTTGTGCCAAGCCCTGCAATACAAGCTGAGAAGATAAAGAGGAGTAGGAGACAGGCATTACCCATAAAGAACCAACAGCCCAGTGCGGTTGTCGGTCACGTGGGCAGATCAGTTATGCAGCCTCCTAGTGGAGGTCTCCTTAGACATCGATTGTGTCTGACTGTGATGGTTAGAACGACTTTCTCTGCCTGAGGGAATTGGGGAAGCAAAGAAGGTGATATTTCAGTCAAATATTGAAGGAGTTCGCAGCAAAGGAGGGCTGAGGGTGGGTATGAGTAACTTCTAACCCCAAATTATGTAAACTACTATTTTATATTTAACCGTTTGAGTACCAGACATATAATGAGCTAGTGTTGTATAGACCAGCCATTACGCCCTCCAAGACTTTTCCCAAGTTGATTGTTAATAGCTCTTTTAACCGTTCTCATTTGTCCTCTTTTCTTTTCGTCATCCTAGTCATCTTCCTTTGTGTGTGCTCTGGTTTGTTTCTCTTAAATGTGAGGCCTTGAAGATGTTACCCCAGGTGGGGTCCGGCTAGAGTGGAATAGAAGGAGACCATCACCTCCCTTATTCTGGATGCCATATTTTTATTAATGCGGCCAAAATTCTCCTTAGTTTTGGATCCTAACCATTTGATTCAGCATATTTTCTGATCCCCCTCAGCTTTTGGTTATCAGTGAATTTAAGCAGCTCATTTTGTCCATATCCAAAATTCAGTCATGGCATTTGCCACAAAGAAGCTTCCTTTCTGCCACTAAGCCAGCAGCTGACTTTCTTTAGTTATGGCCACTTTACTAGATGTGAAACCACCTAGCCACGTGGCATCCAGCGGCAGATCTCGTTTGTTCAAGGGACTACTCTCTTCCATCTAAACTGCAGTCCTTTGCCTGGATCATAAGATGAAAGCCAACTAAGAACGAGGTGGTTCTGACTTTGGTTCCTCCCTGCCATCCCATGCCATCTGTTCACCACCCCCTAAAAGGTAGATCCAAAGGGGTGTTGCATTGGTGTTGGCATTTCAGTCCCAGGTCAGCTGCAGTGTTTTCTCTGACTTTGATGTCATTTATAAAAAGCAAGCCATGATCCCAGTGGCAGTGTTCATTGATTGTCCAGTAGGTGCTGAAAGCACAGGTTCTAAGGCCTCACTGCTGGGGTTCAAATTCTGGGCTTCATCACTTATTTCCTACATAATCTTGATTGACTCACTCAGTTTCTCTGGACCTCAGTTTTCTCCCCTGTAAAATGGGCATAGTAACAGTGCTTTCCTCATAGTCACTGTGGTAAATGAATTAATAAATGTAAAGTAGATGGCACATAGAAAACACTCAATACATGTTAGCTATTTATTAATACAAATACTATTATTTCTAATCTGCACAACAACCCTGCTCACACATGTTGTCTCTGTTTACAGCTGAGGAAACAGGTTCAAAAAATTAAACTACTAGATCAAGGCCACAGGCCAGGAGACAGAACCAGGATTTGAACTCCGGTCTGTCTGTTTCCAAAGGACTCTATTCTCTCCTCGACTCCCCTTGCCTCTCTTATGGGGTTACTAACACCTTTCCATCTTATGGTTTTTTTGGTTCAGATGCAAATAAAATATTCATGAAAATAAAAATTTATGAAATTTGAGGGGAAGAGAGATGAAATAGATGGATAAAATAAAAGCTGCAATCACTATTATTTGAAAAGCCTCTAGATTTAAGATCATTGAAATTTCATTCTCATTATATCTGTGTGTTGCTTTGATAAAGCTAAAAGAAGTTATAATATTAATTGTATCAGGCATATTAGTAGAGTCAGTTATGCTCACGCAAATTTTTCTCTTCTTCTGATTAAACAAAATAATTCTTCGAAGATACACTGAGTTCAGGGCCATTTTTGCAGCCAAGACCGATGCACTTTGTGTAGTTGTAGAGATGGAAAGACATATGCTTTTGAGACACACAGTCATAGAACAGTAAATTTGCAATTTAGCATCTTTCCAAAAAGCAAACATAAAAGGTTCCAGCTCCTTCGTAATTACCCTTTTTAAAAGATAAGAGATTTTTACAAACATGGACATTTTTTAAAAAATCAAATAATAACTGTCTGTATTTTGATTTTATTTGTCCACCAAGGAATAGAAAGGGAGGGGTAGAAGAGCTCTTAATTTCATCTCCCAGCTTCACACCTTAGTCAGCATTTTTTCTCATTAGTTGGCACCATTGATCACCGCCTTGTTCATATCCAAAGCATCGGCTGTGACCCCTCGCACTCCGCGTCCATGTCTGATCTCTCAGCAAATGCTATGCTCTCTTTTTCCTTTAAATAAACTTTTAGGATAGTTTTAGGCTTATGGAAAGGTTGCAAATACGGAGTTTCTGTGTGTATACACCCAATGCCCCGTTTCCTCCAATGTTAACACTTGACCAAGGTACATTTGTTACACCTAAAGAACCAGTCTTGATACATTATTATTCATTAAAGTCCATACTTCCTTCAGTTATTTTTAGTTTTTACCGAATGTCCATTTCCTGCTCCAGGATCCCCTCCAGGACACCACATTACAGTTAGTTGTCATGTCTCTCAGGCGCCTCTTGGCTTTGACAGCTTCTCCGACTTTCCTTGCTTTTTTAAATGACCTTGACAGTTTTGAAGCGTGCCAATTAGGTGCTGTGTGCATTTTCCTTATGATTAGCCTGGGTTATGGATTTGGGGGAGGAAGACCACAGAGGTGAAGTGTGGTTTTCATCCCATCATAGTGAGAGCCTCCCCAGCCTCCTCCAGCTGCCTCCCCTCCTCCCCTCCTGCTCCTTGAACCTCCAAACCCTTTCCTACTTCTGCCTTGGAGCACTCTTTCTTCTCCCAGAAGAGGCTTGCTCCTGGCTTGCTTTTCTTCCCCCCACCCCCCGCCCCCGATCTCCGATCTGTGAATACTTGTATTGCATTTTCTTTTAGAACATACACTCTGAGGTGTTATATTCTGTGTGTGTATTCGTGTATGGTCTGCCTCCCCAGGTAGAATGGGAGCTTTGCAGGGGCAGACACCTGTGTCAGTTTTGTTCACTGCTGTATTCCCAGGCCCTGGCACAAAGTAGGAACTCATTAAACACTTGACGTCTGCATCCATAAGTTCCGCGGAAAAGTGAGAGCGTTGTGCTTCACGTGGGGCCAGCATTCTGATGAGGTCATTTTACTCTAGCATTGTGTTTTGGGTGGATTTTAGAGAGCTTAGTTTTTGTGCCCTTCTGCATTGCCTCTAATTAGATTCGTAATTTAGGCTACTTTAAATATTAAACTGAGACCTCTGGAAGACAGATACGTTTATAGGTCTCTGGACCTCAGGAACCCAGAGCAGTGTTGTAATGTAGAGGTTTTAGCTGTATCTGAGAGCTGTAATTACCCAGGGCTGTAGGAATTAGGCGCACATGGAGAAGTCCTGGGTTCTCTGCTGCATTTTGGTATTAACTTTGCTTGAAGCTGTAGGGACGTTCCTGTAGCATTTTCAGGGGGACACTTTGCTCTTTATCAGCACACAGGAGTTTGCCCAGATTGTAACTGAGATTAGAACAAAGTCAAGGTACTAAAGGAAGCCAGACTGGGCCTAAATTAGAATTTTAATAAAAACCCTAAGTCAAAAGGCTTTTAATCTTTTGTTGGAGGAAACAGGGCATTGGGTGTATACATACAGAAACACAGTATTTGCAACCTTTCCATAAGCCTAAAACTATCCTAAAAGTTTATTTAAGGGAAAAAGAGAGCATAGCATTTGCTGAGAGATCAGACATGGACACGGAGTGTGAGGGGTCACAGCTGATGCTTTGGATATGAACAATGAGGTGATCAATGGTGCCAACTAATGAGAAAAAATGCTGACTAAGGTGTGAAGCTGGGAGATGAAATCAAAGCTTTTGTCTTTTGTATTTCTTACTCCTTTTAAAGATGCCAGTTATCTCTATAATACCTCACCTTGGGTGAGTCTTTTTATCTTTTCCCCCTTGGGTGGTGAAAAGTTTCTAAACTATGAAAAGTCCTGAAAATCTAGCTGAGACCATTGGAGAGGAGTGTAACCAACTGGCCAATGTGAGCGGCTTTGGTTCCTGGGCTGGATGTCACTGTTAACAGATGTTCTACTGATGCTATGTGTGTGTATGTTGGAAATGGGCCAATCATGAAGATGTTTTTGACCAGGCTGGTTGTATGGGGAGATTACAATTTTGGGGCAGGAGTAGAGCATAGACCCTAGTCAAAATGGTTCGACTAGAAGAGGCCTTGGAGAAGACTTACCTAAAGTCATACAGGAGAGTAACAGGGCCTTGTAGGGTGGACCTAAAACCCCAGGCTGCCAGTTCCCAATCCAGCAAAGCCACTCCATTTTATTGAGCACTTGCCATGTGCCAGGCACTGCCCTGACTTGCCACACACATTTTTGGTCTGAATCCTTTATACTTCCAAAAAGGATGGGATTCTTGTTATCTTTACTTTGTAGATGAGAAAGCCAGAGGGACAGATGACCTCGCCCAGAGTCACCCAGCTCGCACATGGCGGGACCAGGATTTGACGCCTGGTCTCTCAGCCTTGGAACCTATATTCTTCATTATGACATTGTCCTGTTGCGGCTTTTCCAGCTGCATCTGACAGTTTTCAAGGTCATTGATAGGGTTTGTCTGCGTCTCCACCCAAATCTCATCTTGAATTGTAGTTCCCATAATCCCCATGTGTCATGGGAGGGGCCTAGTGGGAGGTAATTGAATCATGGGGGTGGGTTTTTCCGCGATAGTGAATAAGTCTCAAGAAATCTAATGGTTTTATAAAGGCGAGTTCTCCTGCACAAGCTCTCTTGCCTGCTGCCATGTAAGATGTGACTTTCCTCCATGATTGTGAGGTCTCCCCAGCCATGTGGAACTGTGAGTCCATTAAACCTCTTCGCTTTATAAATTACCCAGTCTCAGGTATGTGTTTATTAGCAACGTGAGAATGGACTCATATAGTCACTCACTATCGTCTTTGGACCAAATAAACATTGTGTATTTCTCAGAGGTGGCTCCCCAAGAATAACATTGAGAGTGAGAGGCAAAGGGAATGTGAGTGTGTGGAGGGCATGTCCTGCTGGGGAGCCCAGATAAGCCTCATTCAAAGAAAGAACCAGCAGACTTTTCAGCAGTAAACACTCTCAATATAAGTGCCAGCAGTCAACTAAAATAGTTGTTGCTCCACTCGTAACTGCAAAGGCTTTCAGCAAACTTGTTGAGCCCCTCTGAGGTGCTGCTGTCACAGGGAGGCTATGAGTGTCCAGTATATGGTGGCTTAGAGTTGGTTCACAATTGATTATGTGGTGGTTGGGGTGGACTTGGGTGTGACGCAGACCTGGGTTCAAATACTGGCTCGACCACTATCTAGCTGTGTGACCTTGGGCAAATTCCTTGCCGCTGATCTTCAGATTATTCAATAGTAAAATAGACTTGAGATGCCCTGCTTCCTTTGTGATGGTGTAGTGAGGGATAAAGAAAGTCATAGAAAGTGTCTAGTGTGTGACACATAGCAAATGCTCAGTGAAGGCACCTCTCTCAGTGACATATTAAAATATTTCTTTCCTGTGTGCCCTCTTATTCATCCATCAGTCACAGGTTTAACAGGAGATTGCAGAGCTGCTGAAGTCCCTTGGCCCCCTTCAGGAAGCAGATCCACGGTGCTAGGCGTTGGGTTCTGTGTCAGCTTGTCAAGTATGTCTGCAAAAATGCAGGACCATACACAGGGTTCTCAATTCTTGGAAACGCCCATGATGGAAATGTCAGTTTGGTGATTTCTTGGCACACATGGCTGGTGGTGGATAAATGATCCCAAATGTGACATTTGAGTTAAGTGCTTCATGCAGCCTGACTTGAAAAATCGCCACGTGCGGGTCAGCCTGCTGGTCCCAGGAAATGTTCTTGTACAAATGGAACCTTGGCCATGAAATACTAGCAGCTCAGTCATGGAAGGAGGTTTCCTGGGCATTTAATAGTTGTCTGGGTTTTAACTTAAGCAATTTGCATCACAGTTGGAAGGTCCTAGTGATGTGGCCTCTCTAGACCCAGGAATAGACGTTCTGTCCGCAGGCCTGTGGTCTGAGGGCAGAGGGGCAGTGAAGAGAGCAGGGGAGAAGGCCCCAGCCTAGCCTGATTCTCTGCCTACCATACACTAGCTTGTTTCATTCAGAACCTCTGATGTCCCTCTGAATAAAATGGGGATGGTAGGGCCTGCCATGTTGTAGCAGCAGAAATGGTGCCCACAGATCAGTGCCATCCACAAGGTAGCTGGTGTCCTAATTCTGAGATTTAGGGAGAGAAGTAAGGACTTGGATACCTGGTGCAGTAGATAAGGAGGAGCCAGCAATTCTGTGTAGTGTGAGGAATGGCTTGAGAATAGGAAATACCAAGGGAGCTGGGCTGCTGTATTAGTTTGTTTTCACGCTGCTGATAAAGACTTACCCAAGGCCGGGTAATTTATAAAGAAGAGAAGGTTTAATGGACTCACAGTTCTATGTGGCTGGGGAGGCCTCACAACCATGACAGAAGGCAAAAGGCACATCTTACATTGGCACAGGTAAGAGAGAGAATGATAACCAAGTGAAGGAGTTTCCCCTGGTTTCCCCGTATAAAACAGTCAGCTCTTGTGAGTATGGGGAAACCGCCCCTGTGAGTCAATTGTCTTCTGCCAGGTCCCTCCCACAATACGTGGGGATTATGGGAACGGCAATTCAAGATGAGACTTGGCTGGGAACATAGAGTCAAACCGTATCTGCCGCCTTCACAACTGTTCTGAGACAGAGTGCTGGATAGTAACTGTAATCCATGTGCCAAGGAAGGGCCTCCCTAGGCCTGGTGTCGGGAATGCTGTGTCTGACAGCCATGGGGTTGCCCAGCTGTCCAGATGAGAAAAGCAATGAAAGCTCTGTGGAGAGGCCCCACTCTCAGAAGTTTTCACCTTAGGGCTCTCCATGAAACCTGGTAATGGGTTCGTCCAGGGGCCTGCCACATCAAGGTGCTCATATATGAGTTGAATGGATGGCTGACAATGAGTTTGAGCAAAGTTGTGCTTCCAGTATTAGAAGGCACTTTCCAGCCTCTCCACAGCAGCGTTGAAGATAAAAGCAGGGAGTGATGGGTGGAGGTTGAAGCCGATGTGTTGCTGGGGTCTTAGGGATCTGGGAGTCTAGGAACACAGGTAGGGGAGGGAAAGAGAGGAGAGAGTTGGGAGAAGTTGGCGGGGAAGGGAACGAGGCCCAACCTGTGCTTGGGCAGATAGACAGGGTGCAGGGCAGGATGGAAGGCTCTGGCCGGGGTGCTTGCTGGGAGGCGCTTGGACTGGAAGCGGAGGGACAAGCTGTGGTCTGCCTGTTCTGACTCCAACTTCCTACTGGTATATCAACTACCTCAGCCTTTGTACAAGGGCCAGATCTGGACAGGATCCTGCACTTAGCACATTGTTGGCTAAAACCAGTTCCTTTCTTCTTTCTTAGTATCCAGCAGAAATCAGGAAGTATGAGTACGACCCAAATTTTGCAATTCGTGGACTTCATTATGATGTGCAGCGGGTAGGTTTACTTCTCCTGTTTTTCTGTGGTTTAATGATGTTTGGAAATGAAATGTACTCTTGGTACTTTTCTTTACTGAATGGGCAAATTAGTTTTAAATTATGTTATTTGGGACTGCAGAACCAAATTATTCACATATCTTTGGATAGAATCTTCTGGAAGAAACTATGTATTCGAAAAGCATAAATGCATTTAGCTATTTAGGAGGTACTGTTTATTTCTAGTAGTCATTTTGGTGTTTTGAGGAAGAACCACTTGCCATATCTATTTTTTTCCCCTGTCTTTTGCAGATAGGCCATTTCTTTAAAGAGCTGTACAGCACATTAATTAACAAGCAACCCTTTCAGGAACGTACAGTGTGCTTCCTTGTTAGGGCAGCCTAATGTTGATAGGATTTATGACGACACCTGGAAGGCTCATGTAATATGCAAATGGTTATACATTATTTACATGTGCATATGTTTATGTTTTTAAAGGCAGTATTAATGAAGATCGATGCTTTTCATTATATCCAGCTGGGAACTGTCTACAGGTAAGAGTAAGAGGAGATACATTTAATTTACGTGAAGTAACCAGGTGCTTTGTGTTTCAGGACCCTCTGACTGTTTAGTGATGAGGAGGGCTGCAGTGTGGATATGATTCATCCATTCATTCACTTATTCAAGAGCATTTGTTGAGGCCTGCTACCATGATAGGTGCTAAGGGCTTGGTTTGCACTGATGTCCTCAAGGAGCTCAGAGTGTGGTTGGGAAGTCATGTAAGTAAACTTGACTGCAGTTCGGAGTGACAGAGGTGATGATGGAAATGTGCTCAGAGGTGGCCAGGCATGGTGGCTCATGCCTGTAACCCCAGCACTTTGGGAGGCCGAGGCGAGTGGATCATGAGGTCAGGAGATCAAGACCATCCTGGCTAACACGGTGAAACCCTATCTCTATTAAAAATACAAAAAATTAGCCAGGCATGGTGGTGGCCGCTTGTAGTCCAGCTGCTGGGGGAGGACTGAAGCAGGAGAATGGCGTGAACCCGGGAGGCGGAGCTTGCGAATGAGCTGAGATCGCACCACTGCACTCCGAAGACACTGGGCGACAGAGCAGACTCCGTCTCAAAAAAAAAAAAAAGAATGTGCTCAGAGATAGGGAGCAGTCAGGAGGACTGGAGGGAGGAATGGTTTTCCAGGGCTGCTGGCTGGCAAGCTGAGGGAGGGTCCTGATGGGGAGGCTTGGAGCAAGAGGGCTATGGGGGTGAGGGAACACGGTTCTCCTTCCCACCATGGTATTTGGGTGGTTTGGATATTGAGACTGTTTTTTTTTTTTTGGTCTATTCATAGCTGGAAATCTTTGTAACTTTTTTTTTTTTTTTTTTAATGAGATGGAGTCTTGCTGCAATGCCCAGGCTGTAGTGCAGTGAAACAATCTAGGCTCACTGCAGCCTCTGCCTCCCAGGTTCAAGCAATTCTCCTGCCCCAACCTTCCGATTAGCTGGGACCATAGGCACGTGTCACCATGCCTGGCTAATTTTTATATTTTTAATAGAGACAGGGTTTCACCATATTAGCCAGGCTGGTCTCGAACTCCTGACCCCAAGTGATCTGCCTGCCTCAGCCTCCCAAAGTGTTGGGATTATAGGCGTGAGCCACCACACCTGGCCATCTTTATAATTTTTAAAACGGAGGATTTTGCCTTTTTTAATTCTCTAATTTGGAAGGGGATTTAGGAGTGTGATTTGTATTGTACAGCTTATACTTAAAAGTATGCACATCTTAGCTTACGTTCTTCTCTCACAAACTGTTAAAATTAATGCTTATTTGCTTTTAAAATCAAAGTGAAACATGGATAGAGTCACACAGTGAAACAGGATTAAAGGTGTCACAGGGGTCAGCAGCAATCTTCTGTGCTCCCCGCTGCCCCTTAAACCTTTAAAGTCTTTAGATTTTTTAAGTAACGTGCTCATTCTTCTATTTCCTAATTTATTAATTCTGGACATTGTCCCTGCTGTGATAGATAAGGACTTAGCTTTCTGGCACCTCCTCCCACTTCTCCAGTCTCGTTCATCTCATCTCATTCAGATCTCAGTTTTTGGTGGTTGTACTGGTCACTGTTTACATTATGACTTAGAAGGTCTTATCTGGTTCACTTTTTATTGTTGTTGTTATTGAGACGGAGTCTCCCTCTTGTCACCCAGGCTGGAGTGCAGTGGCGAGATCTCAGCTCACTGAAACCTCTGCCTCCCAGGTTCAAGTGATTCTCCTACCTTACCCTCCCAAAGAGCTGGGATTACAGGCATGTGCCACCATGCCTGGCTAGTTTTGTATTTTTAGTAGAGATGGAGCTTCACCATGTTGGCCAGGCTGGTCTTGAACTCCTGATTTCAGGTGATCTGCCCGCCTCAGCCTCCCAAAGTGCTGGGATTACAACTGTGAGCCTCCGTGCCCAGCTGGTTTACTCTTAAGCCAGGTAGTGCAGTGCGATTATTTTCTTTCTTCTACGATATTTTGTTTTTCTTAGATTTTAATAATAATCTCAGTTTTTGTTGGCCTAGTTTTCTGTGTAGGAATCTCTGATTTTTTCCAAATGGTCCATTACAAATGTCAGGCATGTATTTATTTTCCAATAATTCAAATGTTTTCAATAATCTGTCACTTTTGTTTTTAAAAATTGACTCTCCCCTCCTGGTCTGATCTGGTTTGGTTGCGTGTCTTGGGACTTCCCTTCACTGCTTTCCCTGTTTCAAGTTCCCTTCTCTTCCTCTCTCTGGCTTTCCTCCCTCATTTTGCTGGAGTGTATCCTCCAGTAGCTTCCTGGTGCCTCCTTGTGCTGAGCCTTTCTGTAGCTTGTGGTAGGGAATCAGTTCTTGTCCTGGGTGTACCCTTGCAGGCCTCTGTTGTCAGTGTTGAGTCAGATACCTTCTTTGCATCCACTGTTTGTCTTCCAGTGTCTTGTGGAAATGTCTTGCCTATTGACGTCTCTGCTCTCATTTCCTTTGACTGTTTTTACTCTCACTTTAATGGTGTTTCAGGATGGAGAGGAAGTGGTGGTGATGATGGTAATAATATTACTAATAGTGACTAGCAAATATTGAATCTTACTATGGGACAGGCACTGTTATAAGGGTTTTGTTTGAGTTAACTCATTTAATCCTCAAAATAACTATATGAAGTAGGTACTATTATTAGTGCCAGAGGTGTTAAGTAACTTGCCCCAAGGTCACACAGCAAATAATTGCCTGGGCTAGAATTCAGACCCAGGCAGCCTGGGACCAGAGTCTGTGCTCTTGGCCACCATGCTGTGTGGCCTTTCTGAAGGTATAAGGGATAGTTGGAGTCCCTCAACACATTTTTTTGGGGGGTAATGAATCTATTTTAGTATGGACAATTACAAATAATCTTTCCAACAAGATCACATCTTTTGCGGGAACATGAATGGAGCTGGAGGCCATTATCCTTAGCAAACTAATCCAGGAACAGGAAGCCAAATACTGTGTGTTCTCACAAGTGGAAGCTAAATGATGAGAACTCATGAACACACAGAGGTGAACAATAGACTCTGGGGTCTACTGGAGGTTGGAGGGTGGGAGGAGGGAGAGGATCAGGAAAAATAACTGATGGGTAGGGTACTAGGGCTTAGTAGCTGGGTAATGAAATATCTACAACAAACCCCCGTGACATGAATTTACCTGTGTGACAAACCTGCACGTGTACCCCTGAACCTAAAAGTTAAAAAAAAAAACTTTTCATTTATTTTGTAAGTAACATGTATATTAAATATAATTAATACATTTTTGTGCATGTGTCTCATTTTCTTAGGAAAAATCTTTGTAAATGAAATTGCCAGGTGAAAGTTGTTCATTCATTTTAAGGCTTTTGAAATGACTCAGTTGACCTCCAGATTGTACCATTCCCAACAGATTTTTAACGTATATTTTAAAGTTGTTGCTACATTTAACATATTCCAACTTTTAGTTTTTTCTTTCTCTAAACCTCTTAAATGAACATTCGTTTGTTCCCTTACTCATAGCTCCTAATGTTTTCCCAGAATTATTATTGCAATGGTGAAGGTGGGGGCGAGAACGAAGAAGGCAAGGTTATGCATGTTCATGAGAATCCTCACCAGGTGTCTTTGTTCTGTCTCTCCATCTCTGTTTCTGCTGTCGGCCCCCTCCCTAGACACTTACCCCTTCTCTCCTGGGATCTTGGGGTTTGCTGCAGTGCACTCCATCCTGGACATTCTTGCCAGACTGATTCCCTAAATCATTACTCCCGATAATCCCCTCCTCTGAATCCCTGGATGGCTCCCTGCTCTCTGCAGAATAAAGGCTAAGCCATATGCTTAGGCTTAGGTTTGAGATTTTTATCAACCTGCTTTAAACCCTTCGCTTCCTCTTCTTCCATACACAGCTCCTTAACTTACTATGTTGGTCAAGGCTCTTGGTTGCAAGTGACTGAAACTCAAACTGGCTCAGAAACTTATTGTACAGTCCACAGACAGAGTGAGTTTGCAGGTGTGGCTGGCTCTAGGGGCCAAATTACTATTTTCAGAACTCTTTCCATCTCTTGGCCTTGCTCTCTGACTTGGCTCACTCTCAGGCAAGCCCCTTCTTAGTGACCCCTGGCACTCCAGGCCCACATCCCCCCCAGCTCCAGGTCAAGAGGAACAGAGGAGCTTTGTTTCTCCACATTCCGCTGGAGTCTCAGGACTGAATCTCATCAGAGTGACTTGGGTCATGTGTTTGGTCTTGAACCATTACTATGAAGAGAGGATGCCCGGGCAGGCGAAGACAGCACAGGGATTCTTTTCCCTTGACGTCTTCTTTCTTGTCACCTGGCACTTGCTCCTGCTGGAGTTCAGCCAGGGTGCAGTTTTCCTTCCTCTCTGCTTCTTGAAATCCTACCCACCCTCCATGGCCAACTTGTGGTGAGTCCTCTGCTCACCCTCTCGGCCTGAAATGCCCTTTCTCCCCTCTCTTCTCGTGGGGTTCACAGGAGAAGAATTGCCTTGTTTCTTGTATATACACTGTCCATTGTGTCAAGGAGTGTGGACAGTAGAAAGAGCCACTGAGGCATTCGGGGGAAGGAGTGTTCAGAATGAGGCTGTAGGAAGTTCACTGTTGCTTCGCTGCTGAGAGGGGTGTTGAGGTGAGCTGACCTCTGGAGGGAGTGTGTGGACTCGAGTCACTCACACTTCCTGGGTGCAAACCCCAGCTCCACGGCTCATGTGTGTATGGTCTTGAGCAGTCTCTGGACCCTCTGAAAGCCTTGGTTTCCTCGTGTAAAGCAGGCATGATTCCAGTCCCTGCCTAAGGGGCAACTTGTGAAGATGAAGCATATCTGCACAGGGCCCAAAATACAGGGTGGTGCCACTGGGCTTCCTGCCTTATGTCACTGAGCCTTGTGTGTGGCCATTTCCACTCTTAGCACCTGTCTCAGGGAAGAGTATTAGAGGGCAGGAGGATGTCTGATGGAGACAAAAACAGCCTTTCTCTGCCCCAATGTGTTAAATATGTTAAAAAAAAAAAAAAAAAAAAAAAGCCAGCCCACCCCAAAGCAAGTCATTAGGAAGCTTTGTACCTTAGTGGTTTAAGAACTGGAGCCTGCAGAAATGTCAGTTTTCTTCTCTTTCACTCCAGAAGGGGTCATGAATGAGAGAAGGTGGGAAGAAAGTGTCCATCTCAGCCTAGTTTGTTTCTAAGCACTGATGCAGGTCTCCAGTCCCTGCACCAGGGTGAATTTTATGATGTTTGACCCACAGCAGTGAGTGCTGCCGACTGGGAAGGTGGAGAGGGGTCCCCCACCACAGCCCCATTTTTGTACCTACATTTTAAGTTTTTACTAGGAACCTTGTGAAAAGCTGGAGTGGTTCCCTTCACAGCCACACTAGTGAAGCCTCTCTACAGTGCTTACCATACACCAGCTATTCTATATGTAGTAGCTCCTGTGATCTTCTCAGTGACATCAGGAAGTAGGCACTTTTATAGTTCCCTGCTTTAAGAATGAAGACTTTGAGGCCCAAAAGGGATAAATTACTTGTCCAGGTAATATCCCTAGTGATGAAGGGAGCGGGGATTTGAAGCCCTTGCAGACTCATTCAGATCTGTGCTCCTAACCTCGTGTTTCTCACTCTGAGCGGGGGAAAAGGAGCTTCCACTTCGATTTCAGTGCTGATCAAGGCTGCATTCAGATGTGGCCGGGCAGTCTGCCCATGCCTGCTGCAGTTGTGTTTGGCTCTTGGTTTGATGCAGCTGCTGCTTGGGGAATTCAGCTGGCAGATTTCAGTGCTTCTTCTGAGTTGCCATTTGATTGTTTGGCTCCTGTGGATGCAGCCTGGGTGGCTGTGCCTGTGCCTTAGAGGCAGCAGTGGCTTCCAAAGGGCAGAGAAATAACTCTGACCCGGCCGAATCACTTCACTTTTTATATTTTCTCTCCAGTGTTAGAGCCTTAACAGTGTGGACACGTGACTGCTGCTGCTCAGCAAGGGCTGATTTCCAAGGTCACTGCCTCGAATGATCTGGCTTAGTGCCAGTCTTATCTTATTTCTGGAGCAAAGATAAAGGGAGTCCAGTGTTTCTACTTTTTTCAAAGGCTGGTAGTTGTAACAGATTAATCAAGATCAGAGGCAAAATATTAATGAGTCCACTCAGATAACTTTTTAAAATAATGTGGGTGATGGAGACGGGAGGAAAGAGGTTGAAGTGATCTTTTTGTTAATGTTACATAGCAAAACATAAATGATATCGTACATAGATTTTACTGTGGACCATGTGGTTTTGTATGCTAAGCAACCTGTCGTGTTAGTAACTAAAATTCTTCTTGAATTATTTATACTCCTGCTGTAGCACAGCGTGACATTTCCTGTACTATTCAGTCTGTAGTTTCGTAATCATCGGTGTCTATTTCTCAAGCACTTTCTCCTCCACAGAAGGGGTAGAAGAGCAGGTGTTTCCCCTCCTGACGCTTGAGAGTGGATGAGTCCAGCTGAACAGGTGAAGGCACCTGCTCTAGTCACTGGTGGCAGAGGCAGGAGTGAAACCCTGGCCACTGACTTCACAATTCATTTTTTTTTTTGTATGTGGAAGAAGTAGATTCATTTGCAGATTCCTGAGGCAGGCAGATGGTAGATGAGGAAACTGGCCTTCAGTGTCACAAAGCATTCAGGGTCATTGCCTCTCCAAGGTGGTGGTGCCACAGGGCTTCCTGCCTCATGTCACGGGGTTTAGTCCACTGAGCCTTGGGTGTGGCAATTTCCATTCTCAGCACTTGTATTAGTCTGTTCTTACGCTGCTGATAAAGACATACCTGAGACTGGGTAATTTATAAAGAAAAAGAGGCTTAGTGGACTCACAGTTCCACATAGCTGGGGAGGCCTCACAGTCACGGCGGAAGGTGAAAGGCATGCCTTACATGGTGGCAGGCAAGACAGAATGAGAGCCAAGTGAAAGGGGAGACCCCTAATAAAATCATCAGATCTCGTGAGGCTTACTCACTACCACGAGAACAGTATGGGGGAAACAGCTCCGGTGATTCAGTGATCTCCCACCAACTCCCTCCCACAACCTGTGGGAATTATTGGAGCTACAATTCAAGATGAGATTTAGGTGGAGACGCAGCCAAACCAAATCAGCACCTATCCCAGGCTAGAGTATTGGAGGGCAGGAGGATGTCTGATGGAGACAAAAGCAACCTTTCTCTGCCCTAATATATTAAATACATTAAAACAAAAGCCAGCCCACCCCAAAGCAAGTCATTAGGAAGCCTTGTGCCTTAGTGGTGTAAGAGCCTGGGCCATAGAGCCAGAAAGCCTGGGTTCTAATCTTGACCCACCACTTCCTACTTTGGTGACCTTGAACAGGTACATGACCTTTCTGTGCTTCAGTTACCTCAGCTGGAAATGAGAAGAATAATAGTGCCTCCCTCCTAGGACGGTTGAGAATTACACGGATGACTGGGTGTAATTCATATCTGGCCTATAGTACGTGCCATGTAATATTAACTATTATTCCTCCTCCCGTTACTGTTCTTGTTAGAACAGTAGTAGTAAACGTAGTAGCATCTTACCTGATATTTGTAGCATTTACTTGTGGCACATTTGGCCTCGTCATTACAACAGTGTCTTGCACCTCACTTGAAAAATCCCAGCACTGCACAGGGGTGTGAAAATCATTGGTCTCTCTAGTTGAGCTCTTTAACTGCACCTTCTGGTTTTTCCAGAGGCCTCAGTGTTGTCCCGGATGAAGAAGTCATTGAAATGTACGAGGGGTCCCATGTGCCTTTGGAGCAGATGAGCGACTTTTATGGAAAGGTAACGAGCAGCACTTTATTCATTTAAAGCTGCCTTTTTCCTTCTTGAAACATGGCCTTGTCAAACTTACCTACTGCTCATATGAAATTTGAGATTGTGTGTTGAGAGAGACCAGTGTTTGCAGGGGACACCCCCAGATTCTTTCATCATTCTCCTTTCTGAAGCCCTTCCTCCACACCTGGTGAAGGCTATTTTTACCTCCCACATACCTACCCCGTTTGCCACCCCATCTCCAGGAATGTCCCTAGTTTCTGGAGTGGACTCCAGAACAGATTGGGGCTGTCAGTGTGACAGCTACTGCTTCCCCTGGCGAATGGCTGTGAAATGCCAGAGCTGATGGCTACACAGCCACCCTGTTTACCTTTAGAGAAACCTCTGCTTTTCTAACTTTTGTGGTTCTCTTTCCACTCAGAATTTTTGCTTCTTGTCTTATTAGATGCACTCACTCACTTGCTTTGTCAAAATGAAATGGAAGATGCCCGGTCAGTTACTAAACTTAGTACAGATGGCCCCTGACTTAACAATGATTCTACTTACAACTTTTTGACTTTACAATGGTGCAAAGCCATTGTAATTTCAATGTAAATTACAGTACTCAATAAATTATATGAGACACTCAACACCGTATAATAAAGGCTAATATAAATGAGCCTTTATAGGCTAATATAAATGTTCTGAGAATGCTTAAGATAGGCTAGGCTGAGCCATGATGTTTGGTAGGTTAAATGTATAAGTGCATCTTTTACAGTGGGTTTATCAGAATGTAACCCCATCATAAGTTGAGGAGAATCTATAGTGTAAATTGCAAGCATTCAGAGAAAAGCTCTTTTTTAAGCTCAAATATGGGCTGTGAGGGTGTGCTCCAGTTCAGGAGAGTTACGTGCGTTTTTGTGTCATTATGGGCAATAATTTGTTTGCTGACTTTCCTCTGTGCTTCCTGAAAGAGTGTGAACCGGAAGTGGGACTGGGCACAGGAAAAATCGGGAGGGGAAGGGTGATTAGACTCTCTGGGAGAAGTCAGGGCATTTCTGTCGCTATCCTAGTTATACTTAGAGTGAGACATCAGCTCTGCTGTGAATGATAAGGAACAAGGGGAACATTTTACCTGTTTTTTTTGTTTGTTTTTGTTTTTGTTTTTGTTTTTGTTTTTTTAAGGCAAGGTTTTGCTCTGTTGCCCAGGCTGGAGTGCAATGGTGCCATCTCCGCACTGCAACCTCCACCTCTTGGGTTGAAGCGATTCTGCTGCCTCAGCCTCCTGAGTAACTGGGATTACAGGCACGCACCACCATGCCCGGCTAATTTTTGTATTTTTTAGTAGAGATGGGGTTTCACGATGTTGTCCAGGCTGATCTTGAACTCTTGACCTCAGGTGATCCACCTGCCTTGGCCTCCCAAAGTGCTGGGATTACAGGCGTGAGCCACCACGCCTGGCCCATTTTATTATTTTTTTATTAGAACTTTACTTTTTTGTGTTGATGATGGGAATCTCATTTAGTCACTGAGAAGTCTTCCTGCTGTTCCTGGTGCTTCATAGCTCTGCCCCTGGCATGGGCCCCTGTTTCTAAAGCACTCCTTCCTCCCTGTCTACAGAGCTCTCATGGAAACACGATGAAGCAGTTCATGGACATCTTCTCCCTGCCCGAGATGACCCTCCTGTCCGAATAACGCCAGTTTCTTCAATGTCATGTTAATGAAAGATGTCAAGGTTGTATCCACAGTGAGAGATCACGGTGCTGAGTCTGTTTCAGCTTTGCAGTGGGAGTCACAGAGCCTTGAACCTCCTTTCTAGGTTAGGTGTTTTAAATAGTCTCTTAGCTGGGAACTCTTATATGCGGTTTAACCTTGAACATTATAAGAAAGGTGTTGTTACATCAGGAGAATTGGAAATCAGTCAAAATTTTTGTTAAAACAAGATGGTGCTGACACTGTTATCTCGATTTTTGATCCTTTCTGACCAGAAGGCCAAGGCCAGAGCTGGTGCACTTGGCCAAAGGGATGATGGGGATGGAAGTCCGGCCTGTACCCACTCACTCCTGAGTCTGCCCAAGCAAGGCGGTGCCTCCTCCTCTTTTTTTTTTTTTTTTGAACAGAGTCTTGCTCTGTCACTCAGGCTGGTGTGCAGTGGTGCGATCATGGCTCACTGCAACCTCTACCTCCCAGGTTCAAGTGATTCTCCTGCCTCAGCCTCCCAAGTAGCTGGGATTACAGGCGCCTGCCACCACGCCCAGCTAATTTTTGTATTTTTAGTAGAGACGAGGTTTCACCATGTTGGCCAGGCTCGTGTGCAACTCCTAACCTCAAGTGATTGGCCCACCTCAACCTCCCAAAGTACTGGGATTACAGGCTTGAGCCACTACGCCTGGCCAGGGTGCCTCTTCATCACACAGGTTACATTCAAGCCCCCAACTGGGGGACTTGTGCCACTGTAGTTGCCCAGAGGGGATGCCTTTTTCCTTTGCCCACAAAGGTTCCATGTGGCTCTCTAAAGTCCTGCAAAAGCCATGCAAGAATCCAGTTAGGGGACGGGGGATGTAGACAAATGTAAATGTTTATGTGAACATATGTGAATACTTACTGTTGCCCATAGGTTCTTGGCAACCGTGACTTTAAGTGAAACCATGTACAACAGATCCTTGAATAACGCCAGTTTCTTCAATGTCATGTTAATGTTGACAAGGAAAAAAATTGATTTTGCTTTATGTTGTTTCACATAGAGTTGCAGTGTCTAAGAACCTACTGAAGATGTTAAGGACTTACTGTACAAATCATTTGTATTTATAAATTTATGTATTTTATATTCACATGTTTATATATTTATATATGTTCTTTAAGCTGTATGAACATTAGTACTAAAACATGTTTATATTATTTTATATGTATTTACATAGTTACAACATATATTCATCAACATATGTATTTAAAATATTTATATTTTTTAAAGATACATATTTACACACTAAAATATTTTTGCTATGTATTTATAAGTAAATTTAAGTTTTGGCAGCGTGAATCCTGGGTTTTAGGAAGATAGAGGATAAATTATAGTTTCTCAATATCAGTGTGGTATTATCCAAATTGAATTTAGGTATTTAGTTTCTGTTCTCTTGTGTATACAGTTTGTCTTTAAAAATTTAAGAATCACTTGTAGCAGCCCTGTGCATTCGTAAGGCGAGATGTTGATTTGAAAGCTCAGTTTTTAACTGCAAGTGTTACTACCACCAAGAACAAATACTTGTGTAGAGTTTACTAGGTCCCAGGCACTGTTCTTATGAGTGCTTTAGGCATGTTAACTTACTAAATCTTCATAATAATGCCAAAGTAGGCACTATTCTTACCATTTTACAAATACGGACATCGAGGCACAGTGAGGTTGACTTGCTTGCCCAAGGTCACACAGCTGGTAAATAGCAGAGCCTTGATTTTAAGCCAGACAGTCCATCTTGCATTTAACTACTGCCTTCTGCTGCTGGTGTGAAATTGAATCAGGCTTGTGCTGAAAGGTAATTGAAGTTGAGATTGCAGTCCAGAAGTGCTCCCTCTTAACAGAAATCTCCCAGCAACAGTCTAAGGCTTAGACACAATTTTGCCTGCAGCCCTGTCTCCTGCTACTGGCTCTGGAAAGTGTCCATAGGCCTCTAGGAATGTCACCACGTAGAGGCCCTGTGCAGTGTCACCTGCCAGTGGGACCCTTTTTTGACAATTGCCAGCTCTCATGCTGCCACACTCCTGAACCCACAGAGGGTTTAACTTAACCACCTACTCTTCCTCTCCCTGGACCACATCTCTGCCTGAGCTACAGTCTCACTGCCAGTTCGTTGCCCTACTGGTGGCACCAAAGAGAGAAGGAGAAACCTGTTAGCTGTTTATCTCTGCCTCTCATTCCGTGTTAGAGAATTTGCCATTGGGGTCTAGGGACGGAAAGGGCACAAAGATAAAAGAGCAATAACTCCCTTTGTCCAGATGGCCTGGGATCATTTGTTCACAATACTGCATATAAATTACCGTGTGTCATGTGGGACTTTATTCGGAATTATTCACAGAAATTACCTCTTCCAAACACTCTTTTGAAAATTGCATTGGAAATTGCCACCATCACCATGGAAACTTTTGCTTTCACAAGGGGCTGCCTATGAAAATGGACCAGAATTGGCCTTGTGTGGTGGCTCACACCTGCAATCCCAGCACTTTGGGCAGCTAAGGCAGCTGGATTACTTGAGGCCAGGAGTTCGAGACCAGCCTGACCAAAATGGTGAAACTCCGTCTCTATTAAAAACACAAAAATTAGCCTGGTGTGCTGGCGGGCACCTGTAATCCCAACTACTCTGGAGGCTGAGGCAGGAAAATCACTTGAACCCAGGAGGCAGAGGCTGCATTGAGCTGAGACAGCACCACTGCACTTCAGCCTGGGTGATATAACAAGACTCTGTCTCAAAAAAAAAAAAAAAAAAATAGAGAAAATGGACCAGAATTTAAATTTTGTGTAGTGCCTGGATTGTCGGACTTTCTAGGGATAGAAGTTATCATGACTGCCATTTCACATGTACTGTTACTCAGGCTATCTCAGTTGTATTTTCGCTTATTAAAAATGTATCTTTTGGCAGGATTCAATTCGAGACGTCCACATCAAAGGAATAATGTACAGAGCAATTGAAGCGGACATTGGTATGTGCTCAGCAGTATCGCAAAGAGAGTTTCAGCCTTCCGTTTCTTGTGCAACCATGCCGGCATTTTACTTTGCATTCCAGGTGCTAAGCAGGGGCTGCATGAGTGCTCTGTAAGGACCTGGCATCCTGGCATGTTAGCCGTCTCCTCTTTGTCCTGGAACTTGACATAATTCTGACTTAAAAAGAGAGGCGCTGGCAGCTATAGCCACTTAGTTGTTTCCACTTAGACTGAGGAGGCAGGGTCTTTGTGACTGATGCACCAGATGTACCCATGTTCCACTGGGCAAAACTTCTTCCTTAAGGCCTTTATTCCCTCTCCTGTGCCTAGGACAGTGCTGGACCCGTACCCCCATTTAGAAAGTACTTGCAGATTGACCAATAATCATGCTGAACCTGTGTGTGAATTTTTCTCTTGCTCTTAGAAAAGTACATCTGCTATGCTGAGCAGACGCGTGCAGTGTTGGCCAAACTGGCTGATCATGGCAAGAAGATGTTTCTCATCACCAATAGCCCCAGTAGCTTTGTGTAAGTTGCTCTGTGTTTCATTGCTAGCTTCTGGCACACTCCTTGTATTCCATTTGTTTTAGCAGTTGGAAATTGGAAAGAAAAAGTTACAAACATAGTTAATCCTTCAATGTTAGACTAACCTGGCTGACTTGTTGCCCTAGGGACAAAGGGATGAGTTATATCGTTGGGAAAGACTGGAGGGACCTGTTCGATGTGGTCATTGTTCAGGCGGAGAAGCCAAACTTCTTTAATGATAAGCGGAGGTGAGTGTTTATTTTTCTAGGGGACTAGATTTTATTCCTTTGCTGCTGTGAATATATAGATGGTGTGTCTTGGTAAAATCCAGTTGCAAAATCATAAGCATGTGAGATTATAGCTTTTGAATTTTAACCCTTCTAGCAAGTAATCACAGGGGTGACATGAGCACATAACAGACAGTTTGCATGCATCGAAATGGTTCTCAGTACAACTTGGGCTGCGTCAGACCCATGAGGTAGGCTTGAAGAAAATGATTGGCAGTGATGAAAAAGCCAAACTTATTATCACATAGTAAATTAGGTCTTCAGATGCAGACACATTGTGAAGCGTAAGAAAACAACAGCATCAACAAAACTGCCTATTGGGTAGCTCTTTAAATAGAGCTCTCATTAGTGTGTTTAAAATTGCAGTCGGATTTTGCAGAGCTTCTCTGCAACATAGGTTTTGCATCACGTGGAGTAAATCTCTATTACGTCTTAATATCTTCCTGCCACTGTAGCCCTGGGAATGGGGAAGCAGGTAAGTTTTAGGTTGTTACAGGGAGAGAGTGTGCTGTTAGTATTTAGTGGGTAGGGATCAGGGAACGCTAAAATATCTTTTAACGTGTGGGACAGGCCTGTTCACTAAGAGCTGTTCTCCGCAAATGTCCATGGTGTTGAGAATCACACTGCACTGGGGTTGTAAAAAAATAACTCGTATTTATATAATAATGGGCAATTTTTGAAACACTTTTACCCCCATGTTTATTCTGTAGCTGGTAAGCAGGTAGTCTTTTCCTCTCTGTTAGGTGATTTGAAGCATCAGGGTGTGGTGCCCTGCAGTTAATGCTTTAAATTCCTCTTGTCCCAGTTTTCCAAGTGTCACAGCGACTCCAGGAAGAAGCGGCAAACCAAGAACCATGTGGAGGGACTGAAAAATGCTGGGTGGGATTCAAGAAAATGAAGGAAAAACTAGAGTGTGATGAAAAACAGCTATAAACGGTGGCTTGCTGCTTTGTTAGTATTTTGTCCCACTTACCGGCGGCTGGAGTCATCCCAAAGACAGTGGCAAGGGAGTTCCTGCATGGGAGAGCCACAAACTGTCCCATGATGGGGCTGGTTGGGATTCTAAAGAAAGAAGCACTAAACGCTAGGATGATCAGTCTAAAGCACTTAATAGAGGAACCGACTTACAGAGTGGGCTGCAGTACATCCTCTGGCACAGGGTCCCCAACCTTTTTGGCACCGGGGACTGGTTTTGTGGAAGACAATTTTTCCACCAGGTTTGTGGGGGTAGGGTAGGGTGATGGTTTCAGGATGAAACTGTTCCACCTGAGATCGTCAGGCATTAGATTCTCATAAGGAGCGCACGACTTAGATCCCTTGCTTGTGCAGCTCACAATAGGGTTCTGCTCCTATGAGAGTCTAATGGCGCACCTGATTAGCCAGGAGGTGGAGCTCAGGCGTTAATGCTCTCTCACCCACCGGATGCTCGCCTCCTGCTGTGCGGCCTGGCTCCTAACCCATGGGCCGGTTTTGGTCTGTGGTCCACGGCCCAGGGTTTGGAGACCCCTGCTGTGGCAGACAGGAGAGAAAGGGACGTTCCACCAGGAGCGGGTCAGGATGTGGAGTTTATTGAGGGTTTAAGGAATTTGGCTCCAGGCCAGGGCTAGTTTCTTCCAGTGTCTTGGGGAGCAACATAAAAACCTTTATCAGTGTCTGGGAGCGTTGAAGCACGCAGAGGAGAACGTGCACCTAGCTGGGTCAGAGTGGTCAAAGGCACTCCTCTCCTAGAGGAAGAAGAGGGGAGGTCGGGGCCCTATAGTCACTGATATGATGCCCTCACCATTTTCTTAGTAGATTCTGGGGTGTGGTCAGAAGGGCCCTGTCTCTCTCTTCACCAGAGAGCTCCTCTGCTTTGCCGTGTTTATAAAAAGTGAGGAGGCAGGGCCCTGAACTCTTTTCCCTGGATGGAGCAGGCAGGGTGTCTCAGCCCCCTCCCCCAATATCTATTTTGTCTTTGTTCTCGAAGCCTAGGGTAAGAGCTGAATAATCCTCTGTCTGTGTTCATCCTTGTGTTATTTATAATAATGAGAGGTCAGAAACAACCTAACAGCCCTACAGTAGGGGATGCTTAGTTAAATTTGGAATAGCCATATGAGAGGGGATTATGCAGTCATTAAAGACGATGTACTTGGCTGGGTGCAGTGGCTTATGCCTGTGATCCCAACACTTTGGGAGGCCAAGGCGGGAGGATCACAAGGTCAGGGGATTGAGACCATCCTGGCTAACACGATGAAACCCGTTCTCTACTAAAAATACAAAAATTAGCTGGTCTTGGTGACATGCACCTGTAATCCCAGCTACTCAGTAGACTGAGGCAGGAGAATCGTTTGAGCCCAGGAGGCGGAGATCGCAGTGAGCCAAGATTGCACCACTGCACTCCAGCCAAGGCAACAGTATGAGAATCTGTCTCAAAAAAAAAAAAAAGGTGTACTTGGGCCAGGCGCCATGGCTCACACCTATAATTCCAGCACTTTGGGAGGCTGAAGCCGGGGAATTACTGGAGCCCAGGAGTTTGAGACCACCCTGGGTTACACAGGGAGACTTTGTCTCTACAAATAATTAAAAAATTAGCTGGTCACACCTGTAATCCCAGCACATTGGGAGACTGAGGTGGGCGGATCACCTGAGGTCAGGAGTTCAACATGGTGAAATCCCATCTCTACTAAAAATACAAAAATTAGCCAGTTATGGTGACATGCACCTGTAATCCCAGCTACTCAGTAGACTGAGGCAGGAGAATCGTTTGAGCCCAGGAGGCGGAGATCGCAGTGAGCCAAGATTGCACCACTGCACTCCAGCCTGGGCGACAGAGTGAGACTCTCTCAAAAAAATAAAATAAAATAAACCAGGTATGGCAGCTATTTGAGAGACTGAGGTGGGAGTGTCACCTGAGCCCAGGAGGTCGAGACTGTAGTGAGCCGCGATTGTGCCACCACACTTCATCCTGGGGAACAGAGTGAGACCCTCTCCAAAAAAAAAAAAAAAAAAAAAAACAAAAAAATGAAAACGTATTTGGAAAAAAAAAAAGATGATGTATTACTGTAAAACATGATGTATTTAAGAATATGTAATCACTTGGAAAATTGCTCGAAATATTAGAGAAAAAAGGATGTCAGTGTACACAAAGTGATCTCATTTTATAGTCATGAAAGAAACATAAATTTCATGAAAAGACTGAAAGACGAACTGAAATGTTTAGTGTACAAGGTGGGTCTAGAATTCTGGGTCGTGTACCTTTTCTTTGTTGTATTTTTCTGTATTACAATTAGGTAAAAAAATTATTTTTTTTAGGGTAACACTTATTTTTACCTTAAGGCAAACAAACCCTGGGTCCTTTGGGCTAGCAGTGTGTCAGGGTGAGGAATGAGGCATTATCCTTACCTCCCAATTTCCATCATAAACTAGTGCTTCTGGTCTTCTGGTTTGTTATCTAGAGTGGCTTAATTTCAGGTATGAAGCCAGATAAATGCACTAAGGCAGTGTTTCAGTAAACTTTTCATTATAAACAGGTTTTCTGCATCGTCAGATAAATCCGGGAAATCTGGGTGAAAGGAAGTTGATTATAGCAGGGCTTTTCAGAGCCATCAATAGCTTTTTAAGAGGGACATATTTAGTGCATGGTGTTTTCCAAATTTATATGACCCTGGAATTCTTTTTTTTGTTTGTTTTTGTTTGTTTTTGAGATGGAGTTTCTCTCTTGCTGCCTAGGCTGAAGTGCAGTGGCGCAATCTCCACTCACTGCAACCTCTGCTTCCTGGGTTCAAGCGATTCTCCTGCCTCGGCCTATTGAGTAGCTGGGATTACAGGTGCCTGCCACCTTGCTCAGCTAATTTTTGTATTTTTAGTAGAGATGGGGTTTCATCATGTTGGCCAGGCTGATCTCGAACTCCTGACCTCAGGTGATCCACCTGCCTTGGTTTCCCAAAGTGCTGGACTTACAAGAGTGAGCTACTGCGCCTGGCCCCCAGGAATTCTTTTTTTCATGAAACACCTTTGGATACTGGGCTTCACACAGTTTGGGATGTATTGAATTAGGCCAGGGAATGTGATGGTGGAGTTTTGATTTTGGGTTTTTTTTAGGTTTTTGCAGGGAGCTACTTCCTGTGATAGTGAATAACTCTGGTATTTCATAGAGCGGACAGCCTGTACTACTACGTGTCATAATGTTTCCTGTTTCTGTTGTTAGGCCTTTCCGAAAGATGAATGAGAAAGGTGTCTTACTCTGGGATAAAATCCATAAGTTGCAGAAAGGCCAGATTTACAAGCAGGTACGTCATGACCAGCTTCTCCTTTTTGTTGCTTTGCTTCGTGGTCGGTAATAATGCTAATAGCTGATGTTCACTGTGGCTTTCTGTGTGCCTGGCACAGTTCTGAGTGATTCCCGTGAACTGACTGATTATAACTTGGTGGTAAACTTAGGTTTAAGTCAATATATTTTCGATATGCTAGCATCTAAACTAACTCAAAATTGAATGGTTTTTTTAAAACAAAATTGAAGGCATGACTTTCGTAGTGTGTAACATTTAAGAGGCCAGTAGTAAACCTTGGAAATTTCTCTTTGAGGAACACTTACTCATGGCATATTATGCACTCAAATTACTAATTATTTTCTGACAATACATATTTTGTACACAATTTTGTGGGTTTTTAAAAAAAAATTTTATTGAGACAAGTTCTCACCCTGTTGCCCAGGCTGGAGTGCAGTGGCATGAACACGGTTCACTATAGCCTCAACTTTCTGAGCTCAAGTGATCCTCCCATCTCAGCCTCCTGAGTGGCTGGGATCATAGGCATGCACCACCACACCCAGCTAATTTTTAATTTTTATTTTTTGTAGAGACAGGGTCTTGCCATTTTGCCCAAGCTGGTCTTGAACTCTTGGGCTCAAGCAGTCCTCCCGCCTTGGCCTCCCAGAGTGCTGGGATTATAGGCATGAGCCGTCACACCTAGCCAGTGCACAGTTTTAATATATTTTGGTGTCATATGAGGCTTTCAAATGTTTGAATGAATTGCATTGGTGACCATTATTATGTTACTAAAGTTCATTTTTTAAAAGAATTAATGCATTCTTGGTGGGTATATAACAATCTGATGGATTTGGCAATAAGTATATTTTCTAGGCCTTGAAAATTAGCTTTGATAAAGCCATTCTACTGCTAGGAAGTTAGCCTAAGAAAATTATTAAGATATAGCTAATACAACTTGCCTATGAGAATGTTTATCATGAAGTTGCTTACAAAATAGATAATGTAAACTGTCCAACATCAGGGAATTGGTGAAAGGAATCATGGTACTTCCCAGCTGCTATCATTACATGGTAGATTATTTATTGGCATGGAAAGATGGCCCCAGCATGTTAAGTGTAGAAAGATAGTTACAAAGAGGTGTATATAATATAAATCCTTGAACAGTGCATTTGACATAGAGGGCAGATTTCCCGTGAAGGTGCTTTTATCTTTATATTTTGATATTTAAAATAAGTTATAAAAACAATTTTTAAAAGTTTTAAAAAATATTTTGTACTGTGGGTTAGATAACTCTCTAGCTGTAATATAGTAACTATAGTTTTCTTTGATTGCAGGGTAATTTATATGAATTTTTGAAGCTTACTGGATGGAGAGGATCCAGAGTGTTGTATTTTGGTGACCATATATACAGTGACCTGGCGGTGAGGAGCCCTTTTTTCCTTTGTTGGGGGACAGATGTGTTAGCCTCACTTACTAAAGAATGTATCTTTTATTTAAGAATGTACCTTTTATTTAAGAATGTATCTTATATTTAAGGTCATTTTTATGCTTTCGTAAAACCTAGAGGTAGGCTGCATCTTTTTAATGTCTCATTTTTTTTTTTTACAGAACAGAGTTGTGAAAAAGATAAATATTTTTTGGAAATGATGGAAATAAACAGTTCACTCAAAGAGTTTATCGAAATAATCTTTCCATTTAAATAATAATAAATAAATGTCATTGTTCTTTTTCCTTTTATCAAAACATCAAAAAACATAAATAAAATCCACCTTTGAAAGTTTGCCACCATTGGGAATATTTTAAAAATGTGCTGTAGGTTTTCATGTATTATTAGGAGAAAGAGAAATATTCAAAGGCTTCAAGAAACTGAACCAGTGGGCTGGGCACGGTGGCTCACACCTGTAGTCCTAGCACTTTGGGAGGCTGAGATGGGTGGATTACTTGAACTCATGAGTTTGAGACCAGCCTGGGCAACATTGTGAAACCCTGTCTCTACTAAAAATACAAAAATAATCTGGGCGTGGTAGCACACGCCTGTAATCCTAGCTACTGGGGAGGCTGAGGCAGGAGAATTGCTTGAACCTGGGAGGTGGAAACTGCAGTGAGCTGAGATCATGCCATTGCACTCTAGCTTAGGGGACAGAGTGAGACCCTGTCTCAAAAAAAAAAAAAAAAAAAAAAAAATTGAACCAGTGAAGGTGAGTGGGCATCCTAAGCCCTCTTAGACTCTTACATAGGACTTAGGAGTCTGGCTTTAGGTGAGTAGCCAGACTGAACCTTTAAAACTGTAAATCAGACTTAAAGCTTTAAAACCTGAAAGCCTTTCTTTCTCCCTCAGAGTAAAAACTTGAGTTCCTGTAGTTGCCCACTGGATTTCCCCTTCCCCAGCCCACCTCTCTGAAGACACCCTCTGCCCCGCCCCCTCTTTTGTCTCATCTAGGTTCCCTGACTTATTGCTTCTTAACATGCCACCCTCCAGCATGTTCCTACCCTGGGGCCTTTGCACTAGCTGTTCTTCAGCCAGAATCTTTCTGTTCCCACATATTTTCATACTTTCCCCGACCTTATCGTTGTATTAGCCTGGTCTTCCTAACTACCCTGTACAAAATGGAAACCTCCTTTCTTCCTCTCCTTTTCCTGTTATTCTGCTTGATTTTTGTCCCTTGTACTTATCCCCACCTGCCATTGTGTATTTTACGTGTTTATTGTCTGTATTTTCCACGAGGGCTGGGATTTCTCAGTGTTTTGTCCGTTGTTTTATACTCAGTATTTAGGGCCTGGCAAATAGTAGTGCTTGATAAATATTTGCCAAATGAGAAAATGACCATTTAGTATGATGACTATATGTCTTAGATTTTCCAGGACATAGCTGATACTAAATATTCTGGCCTTTTGTCAAATATGGGGTGACAACATTTGGAATGGAAAATGTGGTCATGCATGCTTATGTTGTATGTGATCATTCCAAGTCTGAGATTCCATGGTTCTCCATAACCCAGAGGGCCTGGCACACAGAGGTCTGTGGATGAATTGAATGAAGACCTTTGGTAGCATTTAGGTCAAGCCCTTTTCTGCCCCTGACCTCACTGTGTTTTTTTACAGACCATGGTTAATGATTCCAGACCTAGCGTTTCTGCAGGGGTTGTGACTCACAGCAATTATTTCCAGATCTGAAAGTTTCTTGGAATGAAATAATCGAAGGCTGGGGCCAAATTTGTTTTAATTAAATGTAATTCATTGAATTCAGCTTGGTGAATAACTAACCATTACCATCAAAAACTAATTAAATGAATGCCTCTCATGTCTGGGAAAATAATGACATAGTGTAGATTCTGTTGAGACTTGATGTTGACTTTTCGTGATCTTTGTGATCAGGATTTGACCCTAAAGCATGGCTGGAGGACTGGTGCAATTATCCCAGAGTTGCGATCTGAACTGAAAATCATGAACACGGAGCAATACATTCAAACCATGACCTGGCTGCAGACCTTGACTGGGTTATTGGAACAAATGCAGGTTTGGATATATTTTTTTTCTCTCTCACTTTTTCTTTAAGCCTGAGGTTAGAAAGTTACTTCAGGTATATTCTGCTTAATTGTTATAAAATACGAGGCTTAAGTTGTTTTCAGTAGACTGCAGAATAACAACTGGGGTTCTTTTGCTTAGACAGTGTTTGTGGGGCCTGTGTAAATGTAGGTGTTTGCTCACATTCCTCTGTCAGTGAAGATCCAGTATCCTCACTTCCACATTGAAGCCTGCTAGGAGCTCTCCTGTGGGGTACTGGGATTCAGGAGACCTTGCCAGTGCTTAAGTCTGCTGGTTCTGTCTGCGCCTGCTACAGTGGGGCTTCTCCATTCTGGGCCTCAGTTTCCCCGTCTGTGAAATAAAGGGGCCTATGAAGTGAACACTTCAGTCTAGGCACCATGGCTTACGGGAGAGAGTCTCAAAGCAAGAGTCAAGATGTCAAAGCAAGCAAAAGTCCAGCCTCAGTTGATTCTGAGGATAATACCTGCAATTTTCTGGCTTACTGGAGTTCCCTGGCAGTTACTTCCTTGAGTTAAGTTAGGCAGCCACTTTTGGCTGATAAGTGAGGAATGGCAGTTGTATCAGTCATTTCCTGGCCCATGGAAGCTGCCTCTCTTTTGTAGCTGTATCCCCTTAATTCTCCATGTGCCCCTTTCCTTTCCAGTTCCGTGAGGCACCTTGTTTTCTCCCTGGCTCCAGCTTGCCTGGGCTACAGCCGTCTCAGCATGGGTGCTGACATTTTTAGGATACGGGCACAGATGCTTGCTCTCTTGGCTATCACACCTGCAATCTGTGGCCACGGTCTATTGCCCATGCCTGCCCTCTGGCTTTGGAAATGGACAGGGAATTGCCTTGCCTGCCCCAGCTGGCACTCTGTGTGGGAGTGGCTGAGCAGTGAGATCAGGCAAGGCTGTGAGTGGCAGGCCACATTCTGGCTCCAGGTGCATGCGTTCCAGAGCATGGGGCCCTGCACGTCCCCCTGGGCCTCGTTTCCAGGATGCATTGGGCGCCATTAGTTCTTGGCTCTTCTCTGATGAGGATTTATTCTGTTTCGCTTGCTATGCTTGTCTGTGAGATGATTTACTAAAAATATGTGGCATCAATTCTGAGTTAATGTAGTTGAGAGTCTGTGCATGTCATACACTACTAATAGTTACTTTTTACGTGCCAGACACTGTGCTGAGTGCTGGCTCTATACACATTGCTCATTTAATAGTCATAGCTGTTCCATTTTAGAATAAGGAAACAGTTTTTGAGAGGTTAGGTATCATTTATGTGTGAGATCATAAAATGGCAGGGCAAGGCTTGAACCAGGTCCCAAAGTCCATGCTTCAGAGCACTGCTTTCATGTGCCTTCCTGTTTAGAGGATTCGGGTATAGGCAAGGCTTGACTCCCCCGCAGTGACGTCTCTGTGACCCTGGCAGCTGGTCACATGTACAAACACAACTGCACGTAGATGGTGTCAGTACATTTTCGCTTTGGAAACAGTTTTTTTTGCTTATTTTGTTTTCCTTTTTCTGAGCTGTGTAAAAAAAAGTTGACTATTAAGGAATGTGTGTTTTAGAGAATGGAAGTGCTGAAAATATTTCTGTGGTTTGTAAAATTAATTATACGAGGTGTGGGGTGAGGGAAGGAAGAAAGGGAAATTACGATTTACATAGCCGCCCACACTTTGCAGGAGAGAAAACTTGAGACTGCGAGATAGGTCACTTTTCTGGAACCACAGTTCTTGGTTGGCAGAATCAGGCTGTGTAAAAATGTCTTAAGAACTTACTGTGTTCTGGACACTGAAACCTTTAAGTTCATTTCATTTTCACAGCAACTCTTTGAAGTAGGACCGAAACATCACTCCCATTTTTCTGATGCAGACCCTGAGGCACAGAGGAGATAGAACTTGCTCTAGTGACGGGTGATGCTGATGTTGACACACAGGCAGCCCAACTCTAGACCCTTAACCTCCACGCCCCTATATTGCCTTGGGTTCTGGCACTTTGTACAGAGTTCTGTCAAGTTGGATTCACTAGGATATAGAGGTGTGTAGCTGCTAACTAAAAAAACATCCAAATCAATGTCCTGTCTCACTGTCACCCTCTTCCTCAGTGTTCCCCTAGAAAGTTACAAGTTTTTCCACTGAGCCTGTGGCAGATGTTTCTAGAACTCCCCCTTGGCGATTATTTTCAGAGCACGTAGCACATTATTTGGACAGTTTTCCGAGGAGAAAAATTGGTCCTCTGAGATCGGGTTTGATTTTTTCAGAGCCAGCAGAGTGTCATTTGTTTTTTGTTTTTTGATTTTTTGAGATGGAGTCTTGCTCTGTCGCCCAGGCTGGAGTGGAGTGGCGTGATCTTGGCTCACTGCAGCCTTCACCTCCCAGGTTCAAGCAATTCTGCTCTCTCAGCCTCCCAAATAGCTGGGACTACAGGCTTGTGCCACCATGCCTAGGTAATTTTGTATTTTTAGTAGAGATGGGGTTTCCCCATGTTGGCCAGGCTGGTCTCGAACTCCTGACCTCACAGGAGTCATTTGGAGCCGAGTCTAATGAATGAAATAGAAGTATATAAATATTGATTGTAATTTCATTAGCTAGCCTTGAAGTGCCTTCCAAAATGGCTGTGGTTCATGGTGGTGGTACTGGCATTGGTAGATGCTTCTCAGGTAACTAACCAGTCAGAGGCCACATTTAGACCACGGGTCGGCAAGCTTTGTCAGAGGGCCACATGGTAAATATTTTAGGCTGTGCAGGCTCAGGTAACCAACCAGTCAGAGGCCACATTTAGACCATAGGTCAGCAAGCTTCTGCAAAGGGCCACATGGTAAATATTTTAGGCTGTGCAGGCTGTAGGCTCTGTTGCAGCTACCCACCTCTGCACTTGTAGCACAAAAGCAGCCGTGGACAATATGTGAATGAATGGTTGTAGCTGTGTCCCAACAAACTTTATTGGTGGGCACTGAAATTTGACTTTCATGTAATTTTTACGTGTTAGGAATTTTTTTTTTTTTTCCTTTTGAGGCAGTCTCACTCTGTTGCCCAGGCCAGAGTGCAGTGGCACGATCTCGGCTCACTGAAGCCTCTGCCTCCCAGGCTCAAGTGATTCTCATGCCTAGCCTCCTGAGTAGCTAGGATTATAGGTGTGCACCACCACGCCCAGCTAATTTTTGTATTTTTGAAGAGACTGGGTTTCATCATGTTGGCCAGGCTGGTCTCGAACTCCTGGCCTCAAGTGATCCACCTGCCTCGGCCTCCCAAAATGCTGGGATTACAGGCTTGAACTACCACGCGCGGCCTGTCATGAAATTATTCTTCTTTTCAGTTTTTTTCCCCCCAAGCATTGAAAAAGAAAAACCCATTTGTAAGCTCACAGGCTGATAGAAAAATGGGCCGGTGGCTGGACTGATGTAGGCTGTTGTACTGGCTAGATTGTAATATTTTTCTGAAACAAGGGCAGAGATACGTGGCCAATCTGCTTTGCCCCTGAAGAGCTGATTACGCCCATGAACAACCACTGGAGATGGAGACGGCTGAAGTGCCTGTATTGTGGGGCTTTGGTTAGTCTTTTCCAATGTGGACTACCCACTCTAGAGTACATGGTTTCACTTGAAAGATTAATGATAACTAATGAACACACACCGTCTTTGAAATATTTTAAAGTGGATTTCAGAACCAGAGGCTCTTGTTTTAAGGAGTTTGGCCTTGTAGGGGGACAGAACTGGAGAAGGGGGTGGGCACAGGGAGAAATCTTCTTTTTTTTAATGGGAGAAATCATTTTTGGTTTAATGGCTGATGGGAAGGATGGAAGCGAGAGGGTTGTTCCTTGAGAGAGATGATAAATGGTGGGAAAGGTTCATGTCAGGGCAGCCAGCAGGGCGCCCCAGCCAGCAGCTGGGTACTTCAGGGGAGGTAAGGCCCGAAGCATGGCTGAGCAAAGGCGCAGAGCTCAGGGTCCCCCTCTGGGCACGCATCCCTGGCCTCCGATTCCTGGGGTCTTTCTCCTTTACATGTCCCTTCAGCAGCCTTGGGGTTCAGAGTCGAGCTGTTGAACCGAGCAGATGTGATAAACGGAAGGTTCTTGGCTCCCATGTCAAAAGCAGATGGTTTGCCCGCTTGGTATTTTCCTCCAGGTTCTAAGGTTACCCCCGTGGTCATGAATTGCAGGGAGCCGGCCTGTTCCCTGCGATCATGTGCACCTTGGATTCTGGCCTCAGTGTTTCTGTTTAGCCATAAGAACCTTGGAGAGAGACTTGTGAGATTCCATTCATTAGATCATGGGCAGTTGGCATTTTCTTTTTGCCTTTCACCCATATTTTGGCCCACCAGAAAATGCTCTGCTTTTCCTTCTCATGGAGATGCTTTACCTTCTCGCCTTTTGCAAAAAATAATTGTTTTTTAAATTAAACAATATAATATTAAATTTAAAAGTTTATTTATAATTCTCGTGTACAAATTAAAGTAATTTTTTATGTTAATTTCCAAATGTAAGCACATACTTTGACATGCTTACAGTTGGTGGGTATGTATGCTGTCTCCACTTAACTATAATGTTTGTACACATGTATATAATAAGTATAATAGGTAGCATGTACTAAGTATTTCTACATTATAGTTTGTATACCTGTATATAATAGGTGTGTAATGGATATATCATGTGCATAATGGATATATCACGTACATGTCTTATACATATGTGGATACACATGCATTATGTTTATATGTAGTCTTTACTGATAGTTTAATATAACTTCATAATAGTTCATCTTAATTTGTTAAACCACATTTCTAATGTTGGACATTTAAAACTATTTTTTATTCCTGAAGAAGGCAGGGTTTCAACTGGAAAGTCTGAAAAATGTATTATTTCATTCAGGTGCCAACCTCTGAGATGTAAAGGAATAAAATTTCTAGAAAAGCTGCTCATTAAAAAATTCTCATTACGTAATGAGTTTATTTGAAACCAAAACAGTCGTAATAATTGACTTGCGTCCTACAGGTTCACAGAGATGCTGAGTCACAGCTGGTTTTGCAGGAGTGGAAAAAGGAAAGGAAGGAGATGAGGTAAGAGCGGCCTGTATTGAATGTGGCATGTCCACCACCCTGTTCTGGCCGTGCTCAGCCCACGTCTGTTCCCCAGGGCCAGCCTGAGGCATAATGTTGAAACATCCTTTTTTAGCTCCCAGGTATGTCTGCCTCCCCCAGGATCCAGAATCGGCTACCTGCTGTTGGTGACATGTAACATTTCCTTGAGGCCAGCCATCACCCCTGTCATTCCTCCGCCCTTGCCATCGAAGGCCTTGGGAGAATGGAGCCTTTCCATCTCATTCCTCCTCCCTGCCTTCCTGACCTTCCCATCTGGGCAGCTGCTGGCCCAGTTGTTAACAATGCTGGCAGCACAATGTGGCTATTGGGGCAGTGCTGGATTTGGGCTCCGAACCCACAGTGAATTCTTAGGGCTCCCACGACCCTGGTGCTTATTTGTAACCACAGCTCTTTCAAGAATGTGCATTCTGTTAACTGATAAAGAAGCCTGCCTGCCGTGAGAAAAGTTTGGTGGGTGTCTGTCTTAAGGGAACCCATACTGACAATCATGCTTCCCTAGGAGAATGCTTTTTGCCATTGGCATGAACTTTTCTGACTTTGTGCATGGCCTTCTCCAGCCGCTGGGCACAGCCATCTCTGAGGTTTGGCAGCAGTGGTTGTGGTGGGATTCTGGCCTCCCAGCCGTGGGCAGCCTGACTCGGGGGTTCATGTGGTAGTGTGCGTGGGTGGGTGGACGGGGCGTGGAGAGGGGACAGTGAGTCCATTCCTCAGATTCTGCAGAAGCCAAAGCTGTATTGCATTTAGTTTGTCCTCCTCCCTCTCAGGATGTTGACTGTCTGAGTCTTATTTTAACTGCTACCAACTAACTGGTGGCTTTTATCACACAGCTGTGTAAATGATTCTATTTTTTGCTGTGTTTGTAAATGACTTATTAGCAGTCAAATAGTATTTGTTCATTTTGATGGACTACTCTGTAGGGTGCCAGCCATCAGAGAGTGCATATCCTGTGTGTGTATGATAGGGATGTTGAAATAGACATACATGCACGTAAGGATGACTGCAGGGGCTTATGGGCCTTGGACGGGGTGAACAGTCTCACTTCTGAGGAGGCCGGGAGGCATTGAAGTATGTAATGGATGGGGGAGATTTACATCACATAAAACAATCCTTAATTCCTCCATCTGAGCACTTGAGAGTTTACAACATGCTTTTATTTTGCTTACCTTACTCAGTTCTCACAATAAGCTTGTGAAACAGGGGGTCTTGATCCTTTCGGTAAGGGAAGTGGAGACTCCTGAGAGCATTCCGTATTCTTCTGTGTACCATCGGGAGCAGCTGTTGCATCCTGTGTTTAGTTTGGGAGATGGGGCGTGTGTCCTTAGAGAAACGTGCAAAAGCATCTGGAGCCTTGAGACAGTTAAGGGGGAAATAGGACCAGAGTCGTTTCGATGGATGGATAGGCAGGCTGTTTTCTTTTTTTATTTTTAGATAGGGTCTCATTCTGTCACCCAGGCTGGAGTGCAGTGGCACAGTCATAGCTCACTGCAGCCTCAACCACCTGGGCTCAAGCAGTTCTCCGACTTCAGCCTCCTGAGTAGCTGGAACTACAGACATCTGCCACCATGCCTGGCCAAATTTTTTGCATTTTTGTAGAGACAAGGTCTCACTATGTTGCCCATGCTGGTGGTCCAGGGCACAAGTGATCCACCTGCCATGCCCGGGCCAGACTGTTGTTTGTTTTTGTGAGACGGAGTCTCGTTCTGTTGCCCAGGCTGGAGTGCAGTGGCATGATCTCTGCTTACTGCACCCTCTGCCTCCCTGGTTCAAGCGATTCTTGTGCCTCAGCCTCCTGAGTAGCTGGAACTACAGGTATGCGCCACCATGCCTGGCTAATTTTTATATTTTTAGTAGAGATGGGGTTTCACCATGTTGACCAGGCTGGTCTCGAACTCCTAGCCTCAAGTGATCCACCTGCCTTGGCCTCGCCAAGTGCTGGGATTATAGATGTGAGCCACCACACCTGGCTCTAGACTGTTTTCTTAATTAATATTTGGGGCTGCTCTAGGCTTTTTTCTCAAATGAGTCCTATTTTTTTTATTTTTCTGAAAAAGAAGTGATTTTGATTTCAGTAGTTTAAAAACAAGGCTTTTTGAATCATTCTGTGTTGCTTTGCTTTTTTATTGCCCCTTCAGAGAAATGACCAAGAGTTTCTTCAACGCCCAGTTTGGAAGCCTGTTCCGCACAGACCAGAACCCAACCTACTTCCTGAGGCGCCTGTCACGCTTCGCTGACATCTACATGGCGTCTCTGAGCTGCCTCCTGAACTATGACGTCAGCCACACTTTCTACCCCCGGAGGACTCCACTGCAGCACGAACTGCCTGCCTGGTCAGAAAGGCCCCCCACCTTCAGAACCCCTCTCCTGCAGGAGGCCCAGGCCAAGTAGCCGAGGGCAAAAGCTAGAAACTGTAACTGCCCCTGATTGGGCAGGCATGATGGGGTTGACATCATGTGGGTCTGAGTGTTGCTTTTGGAAAAGATACAGATAAGCCTTTTGATATTTGTTTTGTACCTTATGGAGAATAATTCTCCCAATGGTTAAGACAGGAGCTAGCAGCCCGCCTCTCTAGCCTTTCCCTCCATGCAGGGCTGAAAGGCAAACTTCTCATTGGAACTCTGATTTCGCCTTTTTGTTTACCGAGGTTCTGGAACATCAGGTTTTCTGGGATAGGTGAGACACTTGATACCGTCTCTGTATTGTAGCAGGTCAGGCTTGAAACGGTTCTTGACTGCTCCATGGCACATTTCCTGAACGTGTACTGGCGGTGCATTGGGAACTGCAGGGGCACAGTGATGGGCAAAGATTAACTGCTTCCAGAAGGCTGATTTAGAGGGCTCCACAATGGCAAAACGCTCCTGTGAGTGACAGAGAGGCCCCCAGGTGATGGCCAGTTCCCAAATCATTTGGTACTAAGGCTTTGACATTCTGGCACATTGCATCAAAGAGAACACAGCCTCCCCGGAAGGACTTAGGTGAGAAAGAACAAGAGAAGTTGCAACTCCTGGACCCTTTTGTCCTCAGTGGGTGATTCCTGTGTCCTTTCCCAGCATGGAGGAGGGCAGGAGAGAGGAGATGAGAGCTCTGGTCAAAACCTTCCAGCTAGTGGAACAGCCTTCTGAAGAGCCTTCTGCAAGAAATGAGTGGGTTAGAAGAATCAAAACATTTGTGGTAGATCTCCCAGGAGCCTGTTAAACCTGGAAACGCCACCCGAGTTGGTTTCATGTGCTCACTGGAAGAAAGAAAATGAACCAGGGAAAGGCATCTTTATAATGAAATGCTATGCCATGCCACCACCCGCTTGAATTGGAATCCTGTTAAAACATGAGATTTACCAGAAACAGTCCTTGTCTAGATGGAAACAAACAAGTTCCTGGCTTCTTTCTGATGAGTTATCAACTGAGAGGTGCTTGGATTGGCCAGGGGAGGACGAAGATGGCCACCACAACTTAGCCAGGTCCAGCCTTCTCTCAGATTTCACTCCTGCGGTGTTTGTGCGACTATTGGGGAGTTTGTATAGTTTTTTTTTTTTTTTTAAAGATATCTAAGATGGGAAAGGGTGAAGGACATTGAAGCTGAGAAATAGATATGACTTAGCTAACCGAGCTTTTCTCATTTCTTTCTGTTTTGTTTTGTTTTTTTGAGATGGAGTTTTGCTCTTGTTGCCCAGGCCGGAGTTCAGTAGTGCAATCTCAGCTCACTGCAACCTCTGCCTCCCGGGTTCAAGCGATTCTCCTGCCTCAGCTTCCCAAGTAGCTGGGATTACAGGCATGCACCACCACTCCCAGCTAATTTTGTATTTCTAGTAGAGATGGGGTTTCTCCATGTTGGTCAGGCTGGTCTCGAACTCCCGACCTCAGATGATTGGCCCACCTCGGCCTCCCAAAGTGCTGGGATTACAGGCGTGAGCCACCACACCTGGCCTGCTTTTCTCATTTCTTTCAAGGGGCAGTGCAAGTGGCATATATTCCTTTTGTTGGAGGGAAGAATCCTTAATTGCATCTGCATTTGTAGTATCCTTCAACGTAAAGTGCATATTTACTGCACTCTCTGAGTGCTATGGGAATGTCTGCTGTTATTAGTTATGGCGCTGCTAATACTATTTTAATTGCGTATGCTATATAAATACTTCTGTTCAGATTAGCCTAATCTAGTATTGCTAAAACTCATTTTAAGCTTTGGCGGTACCATGTTATACTCTTAAATCTAAAGGATGGCAGGAACATGAGGGGAGCTTGTGGAGAGTGCTTGCTTATTCAACATTTTTATTGTGATAAATGTATGTAACCATCTATTGATGAAATGCGAGCCTGGCATTCCATGGGCTCCTTGCCAGATGGCAGAAACTTAACGAGTTACATAGCATCGTTTGTAATGCTACTTGTTATAGTTGGAATGTACTTGTGATATTTGGCTGTATTTAACTATAATGGTGAAGGTGACCCTTTAGATCCAATAAGGCTTCTCCCCATCTTCTACATTTTGTTATGAACACAGTAAGACACAGTAGTATGTTCTCTTTTTGGAACAGGGCAGGCATTTTGTTTATTGTTTGCTTGCTTCTAGGTGTTTCCATCATCAGGGTGTATTGGAGGCTGACACTTGATGGATGTGTGTTGTGCTCAGAACTGCTCAGTGTTGGGGTTCTAGAAGAATGTGCTGATGCTCTTGGCTTCAAGTTTCTGCCTTTAGAGAAGCAGATTGAGGAAGTAGGTGTTGTTTAAAAATAATTATTGGTTTTTATCTAATCAGATATTCATTGGTTACCTACCAGGTGCCAGTTATAGGGTGTTTTGTTTACTCAAGAATGAAGTAGAACTATTTTTAAAACCTGTTTTCATGAGTGTTTAGGTTAGGTGACCTAAGCTTTGAAGGAGAAAAACGTTTTCTGGGTGTGAATAATGAGTTTTATAATCAATTCCCATTTAGAAGAATTTCAGTCTCTCGGCCATTGAACTTGGCAGTGTTGAAATCTCCCATGTGGCAGAAGCCTGTCGTCTAGGCCACCAAGGCTCACTGAGTGTGTACCTTGCAGACTGTAGACCCATGTCGTGGCGGTAACGGGGCTGAGCACCGTCATTCCCATGTGAACGATGGAGGCCCATCCCAGTTTATTATTAATCCTTGTCTATACTCAGGACAGATTTTAACTTGTTGCTGTCATGACTTTTTATTTTATTTTTTTTTTTTTTGAGGCAAGGTCTCGCTCTGTTGCCTGTGCTGGAGTGCAGTGGTGCAATCTCGGCTCACTGCACCTCTGCCTCCTAGGTTCAAGCAATTTTCGCGCCTCAGCCTCCTGAGTAGCTGGGACTACTGGTACATGCCATCAGGCCCAGCCAGTTTTTGTATTTTTAGTAGAGATAGGGTTTCACCATGTTAGCCAGGCTGGTCTCAAACTCCTGGCCTCAAGTGTTCTGCCCACCTCAGCCTTCCAAAGTGCTGGGATTCCGGGTGTGAGCCACTGTGCCTGGCCTCGTCATGATTCTTTTTTTTTTTTGGAGATAGAGTTTTGCTCTTGTTGCCCAGGCTGGAGTACAATGGTGCGATCTTGGCTCACTGCAACCTCCACCTCCTGGGTTCAAGCGATTCTCCTGCCTCAGCCTCCTGAGTAGCTGGGATTATAGGCACCTGCCACCACACCCACCTAATTTTTTTGTGTTTTTAGTAGAGACAGGGTTTCACCATGTTGGCCAGGCTGGTCTCAAACTCCTGACCTCGGGTGATCCACCTGCCCTGACCTCCCAAGGTGCTGGGATTACAGGTGGGAGCCACCGTGCCCAGCCTGTCATGACAGTGCAGTGTGGGATCTGGCACACTGCACTGGGCATTTTGTTCTCTGGTGTGCACATGCATGAATGCATATTGGTACAAGGGAAACGAATCTGTTTTCAACCATGTAAAAAATCATGTTGTAAAGCAAAAATAGTTTGAACATTTAAAAATTACTTTTTAATATTGCTTTGACTGATTTTCTAAGAATTATGTGAATAATAATGAGTCCAGGGCAGCAGCCATCACAGATACGACAGTCCAGCAAGGCCCATAGAGGTCCCTTTGGAAGGGACTTGCACAGCTGATTTTTTTTTTTCCAGTGTTGTTTTTACAGGTGAAACGTGGCTTTTGAAATACTTCAGTTGTTTGGCTTAGAGCCCCCACTTTCCCCCTAACATAGAGCCTCTCTGTTTTTTAAAACATTTTAACCTGTGGCACTATTTTCTGCTGTTCCCATTAATATGATGTAACATAAACCACTCGCTACTGATTTGGGCGTATTACAGACTAAAATGACTAGTTGCTTTGAATGCATTGTCACTCTTAATTATTGCAGAGGAGAATTGAAAAGTAGTCTTGTGTCCTAGTTAATTTAGCTTTGGGCAAACTAAGTGGCTTTTCTTCTATCCTCTTCTCAAAAGACCTTTTAAAAGCAGCAGAGACTGAGCTAAATACTGGAACTGAATTCTACTTTTCTGCATGCTCATTTGCTGCCAAAGACCACTTGGGGTTCCTTGTCTAGAATGCTCTAAGACTAAATTTGGCCAGACACAGGGTTCCTTGATTGCTCTATTCAACTAATAGAGAACCTACATTTTGCCTTCTTAATGTCGACTTTCTTTTGTACCAGGTTTTTCTTTCTTTTTTCTTTTTTTTTTTGCCTTAGCATTTAGGAGCTTAGCTCAAAGTTCAGCTAACCTTTGATACTACTAGTGGGTTAATGAAGTACCCTTAATGCAGGGTCAGTAAACTTTTCCTGTAAAGGCCAGATAGGAAGTATTTTTGGGTTTTTGGGCTGTTTGCTTTTGCTGCTACTGCTGTAGGAATGACCATGGTCATGGCTGTGTTCCAGTACAACTTGATTTACCAAGACAAGCTGTGGGCTGGATTTGGCCCTCAGGCTGTGGCTTGTTAGCTCCTGCTCTAATGGATTGTGTTGGTGGCAATGGCAAGATTCCCTTGCTGAGAATGTGCAGATGACTAACCTCATAGCTGGGATGCAGAGAGGAGAAAGTTCTGTAGGTAATAGTGCACTGTATTCCCTTCTGGGCTACTTCCTGGGCATAGTTACACGTATGGCCAGTGTGTGTACTTGAGCCATCAGGCTTGGGCACTTGTTGAATATACCTCTCATTGTATTAGTTTGTAATTGTGCTAGTGCTGGGTGCTGAGCTCAGCTGCCCAGATGACCTTTCCAGACTGAAAGACATACTCTCCTAACTGCTGGGAGTGCTGCTGGCGGGCCGTTTACTTCCAGCCCTCATGGGGAGTTTCCCCTGCTGAAGAGCCCTGCCTGCCCCAGATCGCAGCCCCTTCCTGCCTGTAACCCATACCGGCTCCATATGGGGTACAAAGGGCTGGCCTCCCCACCCCAACTTGGGAAACCCTCTGGGGCCATCCCAGCTCCAGAGCCCCTTGTGGGGTCAGTGAGACCTCACTGTGGCCACATTGCAGCCCAGTGCCTCCCCCTGCCAAGCCTGTACCCAGCCCGGCTCAGCCCACAGCACTGTCCTGTGAACCTTCCTGCACGCCATTCTCCACCTCAGTATCTGCTTTTGGGGAACCCAGCCTGCGACAGTGCTTCTGTGCGTTTTCAGTCCTGCAGGTTTGAACTCTGACTTTGGAGACTCTTTTCCAATTATCTCGTGGAATGACAGATTGTGCCTGTATGATATCAGGCACAATTAATGCAAATTAGGCAGGCTTATTTATTCTAGATGTGAATTTGCTATTTATTTTAAATGTTGATTTTATGTGTTATGTGACTCTGAACTTACTGCCAAATAAAAGTTTGAATTGTATCATCTGGCTTATTGTCAGTCACCTATTTTGTGTGCTTAAGTCCGCTATGTTAAATTCTGATGAATCCACAGTATTGTTTTCTAAACAGGCATTTTTTTTTTCCAGGACTTGAGGTTATTTCTACAAAAACAAATAATGGAGATCTTGGATTAAAAAAAAAATTCTAAGGGACTTCAAAAAGTTTATCCCTGAGAGAAGGGATAACCTTTTTTGGGGAAAGCCCAAAAAAGGGGTATGGGTTTCTTCTCACTGCCCCCACCTGCCCCCACCTGCCCCCACCTGCAGCAAGCACACTCCCTTGCTTTCAGAGCTTAAAGACTGGAAGGTAAGCCTCAGATGCAAACTTGGTGTGAGCACAAGTGGGCAACAGTGACCTATGGTGTGTCACCACAGAGGTTCCTGTGTGTTTGTAATCAACTTACCAGGCAAGCTGGAAATGTTTTAAGGAAAGGAAATAGGGAATTAAGAGTAAATGTTAGAGGTCAGTTTGAAGACTTTTTTTTTTCCCCCAACGTACGTGTGTGTGTGTAAAACATCTTAAAATCCTTGTGCTTATACCTGAATCTCATTCATTCCTCCTGTGGATATCTTTTTCTTCCTCCTTTCGATCTCTTGCCTTTGTGTACTTGTGATGGTGGGTGTTGGTGGACTCACTAGCAAATCTGCCCCATATTGATTTTCTGGGGGTGGTTTTCTGGAAACTTGGCATGTCATCTAAGAGGAAGTGACAGCCTGCTCCTCTGCCTGAAATATGGGCTGCTTCTCTTTCCTGGAGTTGTGAATGAGCCTGTAAGACCCTTGGGGCTTCCAGAACTTTGGACTTGGCTCAGCAGAAATCTCGATGATGTGGAATGCAGTTATTTCGGCAGTGAAGGCAGCAGAGAGGAG